CTGGAGCAAGAAGGATTGTTCTAAGTCCAGTTTTGCATTGATCGTACAAGGAGCAGGATGAGAGCCTGACATTGGTAGTGTGAGTAAAGCCAGGGTCAGTTCCTGAGGCCTGCCTTGATTTTTTTTTTTTAATCCATTAGGCTTTTCTGCATAAAGGTGGAGGTAGAGTAAATTATCTTACACTTTTGCTACTACAGAATTGGATAATGGGTGCTTTGTTCTTAAACTGCTTTCTGGTTTCTTTTACCACCAGGACTCTTAACAGTTCTCATGCTGCGCTAAAGCACCAGTTGTATATACTTAAGTGACTGCTCTTTCTTCTGACTTGTTTGCCTATATCTTGTATCCTCCTCCTTGCTGTAAGCTCCTTGCAGGAACTGCCTCTTAGTGTACAGTTTACACTCAGTAGTAGGAACAAAGTTGATATTTAAACCGAATCTTTCTGGGTTAAGTAGATCTTTAAGGCAGATCTTCAATAGTTTTGTGATATGTTTGGACATTGTGAGTTTCTCACCTTGTATTGTTTTATTGTTGGTGAGTTGTCACCATATTTTGATAAGTTGCTTATTTCTTCATTGGCATGCACATTCTTGTTTTATGTTTCTGGAACCTTGCTGTCCACTTGAGTAGCAAGTAGGCACATGTGGCCATATAAATTAATGTGTCACACTAGCCACATGTGCTTTCAATAGCCACATGTGACTAGAGGCCACCATATTGGACAACAGATATTAAAGGACATTTCCATCGTCACAAAAAGTTATATTGGACCGTGTTGCTCAGAACAGCAATTTTCAACCGGTGTGCCACAGGAATTTTTAAGATGTGAAATATCTATTAAGTGAGGGGCACTGACCTTTTTTTCTTTAGATTGTCAGGTTAAAAAAAGGACAGCTACTGTATTGACAGCAGCCAACACAGAGAACTGTCTGGTGTGAATGCCCTGTTTTGATCCATAAATATATAGATCATATTATAGAGTTGCATTGTATTGGTCTCACTGCATAAGATTGCATCTGATTGGTTAATTCTTGGTACCAGAAATCCTTATGTACAAGTATAGGTATCTGATTTTTAAAAAAGTCACTTTGTAGCAAAAAAGGTAGGCGATTACTATCACTACTATTACTTTTGTTGATCAAAATTATACCTATTTTGTCGGCAAAAAAATACATTTTTTGGTGTGCCACAGAATTTTAGTAATTTGTGTTCCACGAGATAGAACAAGTTGAAAATCAGTGCCCTAGAATTGTTTTACTCATCTGCACATTTTCACTGTCTGTAGTGAGTTCAGTTAGGAACTGGATGAGGAGACTGAGCCTCCTGACGTCATTGGGAGACAGCGGTTGGTGTTTATGAGTAGAGGGGAGAGAATACGGGATGTTAAGAATATAGGCTTTGGGGTCAGATCAGGGTTGGAATCAGGCTTTGCCCCCTAGGCTGTTGGGCTTTGCGCATGTTCACCTCTGAGCCTGTTTTTTGTTTTACCCAAATTGGGATAGTATTTATCTCAGGTTTGTGAGTATAAAATAAGAAAGCGTATGTAAGGGGGCTTACTTAGCACAGTACCTCACTAAATAACAGGATCATTAACATTTTAAATAATTACTGATTTAAAGAAATTTTTGGAACTAGTGTATAGTTGCAAACTTTAATATAGGTGTACATTTGTGTAACAACCACCACAGTCAGGATGCAGGACAGTTCTTCTCCCACTTCAAAAATCTTCCTCATGCTGTCCTTATGTATGCTTCCTCTCCTCCGGCCCCTTCCTCCTGGCAGCTACTGATTCGTTCTGCATCCTAGTTTTGTTTTTTCTGCCATGTTATATAAATGGAATCATACAATATGTAGTCTTTTGAGACTGGCTTTTCTTGGCCAAGTTGGAAGATTCATCTAAGTAGTAACACGTATCAGTAGTCATCACTGATTTTTAAAGAACTTTATTTTAATTTTGAAATATTTTTTAAAAAACAACATAGCCCTGACCAGGTAGCTCAGTTGGTTGGAGCTTCATCCTGTGCACCAAAAAGTTGCCGGTTCTGTCCCAGGTCAGGGCACATGCCTTGGTTGCAGGTTTGATCCCTGGTTGGGACATGTACAGAAGGCAGTGCACTGTTGTTTATTCCCTTCCTCTCTCCAAAATTAATAAACATATCCTTGGGTGAGAATTAAAAAAAAAACAGTATAAATGTGAACCTGAATTTTTGTTTATAGAACTGTTTGGGGTTTTCAAAGTGAAACAATATTTACAGGGAAAAACTACTTCCCGACTGATAACAATTGTACTTGTCTGAGTTATATCCACTTGTTTTTCTCTATGAGGAGGTTGTTTTTAGTAGTTTATCTGTAGAGTTGCAGCAGACTCCTGATTTGAAAAAGGTAGCTGTTTAAACATTAATTCTAAAATGTGCTCTGAAGAGCGGCTAGCTAGCTGGTTGCTTTCCCCAGGCCTTTCCCTGTTAGGCATTGAAAGTCTGGCTGCTCCAGGAACCCTCCCTCAGTGCCAGGAAACCCAGGTCTGAAAGCACCACATAAAGGAAGTTCGAGGATTTCATTAATCAGCATTGGACAAGTATTCCAAAGGATCTTGCTGTCGAGGTGCTTCGAGTCAGAATCTCTAAGGTAAGCAGAACTCAAAACCTGGGGCAGATTAGGATCAGCACTGTGAATTTAAGGGCTAGTTGTAAGTGGTTTAGATTTGACTGGAATCACGTCCAGCAGTGAGTTCAAGAAGCACTGTAGTCTATTTTTTAAAAAAGGATTTATTTTATTTATTTTTAGCGGGGGAGGGGAGGAGGGAGAAGGCTAGAAACCCATGTGGGAGAGGAGCACTACTTGGTTACCTCTCGTGTACCCAGGAGTAGGGGTGGGGGGGCACCAAGCCCGCATCCCAGGCATGCACCCTGACCGGGAATTGAACTGGTGACCTACCCAACCAACTGAGCCGCATGGTTCAGGGCAGTCCATATTTTTATATTAGCAATAGTTTTTAAAAAATTATTCTGTTATGGTATGCAAATTCCCATGTCTTTTCCAGAAACAAATTAGAAGTCAAGTTTATACTACCAAGAGTTTCTTCTGTTTTTGAGTTGTTTCATTCAGGTAGTTAAAGCTAAACCTCAAGTGAACTTCAAGTTCTTTAACTATTGTGTTCCCCTTTCCTGACTTTTCATACCACTCTTCCACCTCTACATGGAGAGTCTGTGCCTTTAATCAGATCACTCAGTCACGTGTTTCCCTGCTGCCTTCATTAGCATGTAGGCCTCATGAAAGTAGGGGCCCTTTCTGTGGTGACCACTGTCTTGGAGGCAAGAAGTAACACGTCATAAATGTGTGGAGAAATGACTCTCTGTGAGTTAGGTTTTACATCCTGCATGCTTGCCAGCCTATTTTAAGTCTAGGGGATGTCGCAACATTTTCTTTTTACAGGAACACTTAGACACGTTTTGTTTCAAATTGTGCAGGAGTGAGAATGTAGAAAAATCATGTTAACCCTCTTGAGAAAAGGGAATTTTAGAATTAGTGACCTTAAATCTTCCTTCAGATAGCCGATTCGGAAACAGTGGAGAAAGTTGGTAGTAAAGAGATTGGGACTGGAGGTGTTCAAAAACATTCCTCTTCTCACTCTCCGCACCTCCCAGCACGGAAGTCACACAGTTTTCGAGAGCAGGGCCATGAGAGAATGCAGTTGGGCCAGGGAGAGAATTGAGACCCTGAGATTTGGTACTTAGTACGTTCAGTGGAACAAGAGGGTGCTAATGAGTCACTTAGAATTATATAAACAGGAGGCTGTAAGTTAGTGGTCCTCAGATTTTTGTAAGTTGAGGAATATCTTGGAGTGTTGTAAAAAACAGATTTGTAACTGTAGCCTCAGGTTTTAAATGATCGTAAAACACAGAAATCAGTAATCATGGACACCCAGCTACTTGATCAAGCACTTGGTCTGAGGACCACACTTTGGAAAAAGTGCTATAAGTAGTAAAGAAAGGCAGGACAGTAATTAAAAATTGGTGAATACAATTATTTTGTCAAAAAATGGTAAAACTAGAAACAATATGTTGATTCTATATGTAGAAACTTTTCTGCCTCTGAATGCTGTAGCTGTCTGAGAAGGCACCCCAGAATGACTGTTGGCAACTGCTAGGTCAGTGCAAAATGTGTAGTTTAAAGCCTTTGAGGCAGTGGAAATACTGCTTTATATTTAAATGAACCACTCCATCCATTCAGAGGCATTCACTAATATCTATCTTTTTATTTTAATCATTGTTCAAGTACAGTTTTTTAGGTTCCTGTTAAAGGTGAGATCATATGGTATTTGTCTTTCACCACCTGGCTTATTTCACTTGGCATAATGCTTTCCAGCTCCATGCTCCATCCACGCTGTTGCAAAGAGCAGGAGCTCCTTCTTTCTCTCTGCTGCGTAGAATTTCATTGTGTAAACGTACCATAGTTTTTTGATCCATTCATTTACTGATGGGCATCTAGGTTGCTTCCAGGACCTAGCTATTGTAAATTGTGTTGCTGTGAACACTGGGGTGCAAAGGTTCTTTTGGATTGGTGTTTCGGGGTTCTTAGGATATAGTCCCAGCAGTGGAGTTGCTGGGTCAAAAGGCCAGATCCACTTTCAGTTTTCTGAGGAAATTCCATACTGTTCTCTACTGTGGTTGCACCAGTCTGCAGTCCCACCAACAGTGCACTAGGGTCCCCTTTTCTCCACAACCTCTCCAACACTTGTTGTTTGTTGCTTTGTTTATGATGGCCATTCTGTCGGGTGTGAAGTGGTAGCTCATTGTGGTTTTAATTTGCATCTCTCTGATAGCTAGCGATATTGAACATCTTTTCATGTGTTTCTGGATCCTCTGTCCTCCTCGGAGAAGTGTCTGTTCAAGTCCTTTGCCCATTTTTTAATTAGGTTGCTTGTCTTAGAGTGGAGTCGTGTAAGTTCTTTATGTATTTTGGAGATTAAACCCTTGTCTGAGGTATCATTGGCAAATATGTTTTCCCATACAGTTGGTTCTCTTTTTATTTTAATACTGTTTTCTTTAGCCGTGCAGAAGCTTTTTATTTTGATGAGATCCCATTTGTTCATTCCTTCCTTTATGTCCCTTGCTCTGTCTTTACCTCTCATATTTCTCTGTGGATTCAAAGGGGAACCCTGGGGGTTTGATGCACCCCCCATTTGATCTCATCCTGTATGGATTTTGAATTGAGGTAGTGCTGTTGCTAAACCCATTGTACATATGAGGCCTAGAGAGGTTCAGTGATTTGCCTGAGGTGATATGGCTAGTTACGTGCTGGTAGGAGCAAGAATTCAAAATCCAGGATGGTCTTAACACTGTACTCTCATGAGTGATAGAAATTTGGTATACTTTGAGGAATGCTTCCAGAGCCACTGGTGAATATAACTCTTTAGGCTCTCAATATTCTTAGTCATTTTGTTCTTAGAAAAGTTGTGACCTTGAAAATACTTTTATCTTGTGTTATTGCAAAAAATTTCACAGCTCTTCCATAATTTACACTGAAGCTTTTATCATTTTTTAACTTAAATTTATGTAGTTCAAAAACATGTAATTTTTGACGTATCATAAACATTGATATTTAAGAACAAAGCTATCGCATCTAATGTATCTAATGGAATGTAATCCACAATTAGTTATGTACACCATGATCCAGTTAAACATATGTAAATGATTCAAATTTAATATTGCTCCTTTTCCTCCTTTAAAATTTGGTTAAATTTGGGGTAAATTTGGTTAAATTTATACCACAAAACATAGTCCTAATAAATTTTTATGCTTGAGGTACTTACTATTTCTTTGCAACATATTTGTATGTTATAATTTTCATTTGTCGTGATCAGAAGGCTCCAAATGTTCACTTTCTTGTATTAAAATTGTTATAATTAATACACAGTTGATTGACCCATAAATTGTACATGTTGGTACTTGGGGTCAAACAACTTATTTATTTAAATTCCCCTCTTATTTAAAGGAGGCTTTGCTGACCAGTATTTCAAATTGTCCTCCTGTTTGGCTTCCCAAAGGTTAAATATACTTGAAGGTTTTTAAATACAGTGGGCCAAACCTCAGATTCAAGCTGGGGGAGAGATGCCTTCTGTACGAGGAAAGGAGAACATGCTTGACATCTGATCACGAGTGTGTGCACAGCACAGCAGTTTCATGGAGGTGCTCATACGGAACTTGATCTAGAAAGCAGTTCTTGAGATCCATGCCCACATGCTCCTTGGAAAGCCTTAGGTGCTCTCGGGGTATAGGTACCTTAGATGGAAGGCTCCTACCTGGGGAGAATTCTTGTGGGGTGCTGTGGAAGACCAGGATGGTCCCTGTGGCATTGCCACAGCAACTCCAGGCATCAGTAGGTGGGGAGATGAATGTGAATTTTCTTGGTGGAATTCTACATAGCAGCTAAACAAGTTGCAAAATGACAGTGTCCCAATTTTGAACAGAATAATAATCCTTTTCATCAATATGTATGAGAAAAATAGAACTTTAAATTCACTATGGTGGGGCAGTTATGCATAAAAATAAATGATGAAGGCTTTGCTTTTTTAAAAAATTAAAGATGGTAAGCCTATAAATATTAAATTCTTTGTACTTGGTATTTTTTAAATTCCCTAAAGTATGTGTGAAACAAAAAAATATATGCTTCTGTGGGAAGAATATTCTGACTTCATAGAGAGGGGATGGAAATTATTAGTAAAACACAAAGTGCCAGGGAACATTCACCCTCAAATTTTGCCATCTAAAATTGGTTTATGAAATTCTATCAACAAATTGCCTGTCTTACTCTATATGTTTATTTTAACATTCCTGAGGTCTGCTTAGCTGGGACCATGATTAGGATTCCCTGGGGAGAGACGAGCAGTGTCTAAAATCTCGGCCTTATGCTGTAATAAGTTTCTTCACTTGGAGCTCCTAGATGCTAAGTTTATCCAAAGTTCTTTAAATAAAACATTTTCCTTTCAAACCGTTAGTGTTTCAGACCCAAACACTAGATTCTTCATTTTTATTAAAGCAACAATACATTTAAGGAGCTGAAAAAGATTTTAACGACTTCTTGATTTAAAAAAATTAAATACCTATTAAATAGATTTTCCCCAACAGTGAACATTTATTTTTGATTGTAGAACTTGCATATGTCTTGCAATGATACTTTTCCTTTGGTCATCACTTGGTTAGAAAAATACTCGAGCCAGCTCAAACATTACCTTTGGGTGATAAAAAATGAGAATTATTAATTTCATGGTAAATCACGGGTACGATTAGTGAATTGACGGGAGAGTACATATTTGTGCTTCTCATATGGCGAGTGCAGACCAGAGGCAAAGGTACTGCTGTTGGGCTGTCCATGATAAGTTTATAGCCAGAACTTTAAATGTCATCTTTAAAAATGTGGAACTTTTTAAAGTCAGTGCATTTACAAAATATTAGTGCAATCACGTGAAACTTAACTCCCTTCCCAATAGACTTGGTAACTGGAATACAGTCATAGTCCTTCTCCCTGGCATTTTCTTTGTCAACTTTATTGTTTTCATGAAAAAGATACCTCTATGGTGATGAGGATGACGATCATCCACTCCAGGCGGAGTGCCCTCTTCTCCGCCAGGTGATTCCGCATTATATCTGTTAGCTCCATGCAGTGCTGAAGTTTTTCATTCATGACCTGCATTAGAAAAATGGTAAACAGAAAAATAAGAAAATACAAAGTATCCTGTACATGAGCAAATAAGTAGCATGGTCACATACTTTAAAATTCCAAAGGTTTGAAACAGGTTTACAGTGAGAAATCATCCCTTTAATTCCTACTCCTCGGTCCTCGCCCAGAGGCGCCTGCCCATGTTCCCTGTCTCCTGCATCCGTCTAGGGACATTCTGTAATGGATGCACAGGTTGAGCTGCAAGAAACACTTCCACGTCGAAGCTTGTAAGATTTTGATGGAAGATCTAAATATAAAGCCTCTGAGTCCTGGCTTATGATGACTGCCTTTGGATTTTTAGCAGTTAAGAAAGGCAACCTTGAAACCTGATTCTTTTCAGCATGGCCCTAAGATGACAAAAAGATTACCTCGTACTAAAACCTAAAAAATCTCATAGGCAACGCCCCGCCCCCCCCAAAACACCAACATGACCTGCTGCACACTCACCACTAGATGGCGCTGCTTTTAGCGCTGAATTGCAGAGGTTCTGCCTGCGGATGCCTCCCTCAAGTTCGTGGAGGGGGGCGGGGTTTCATGGAACACACACCCTGTAAGACTTGAATGTGACCACTGGCAAGTTATGCCTCTTTAATCTCTCTGCAGCTCACCTTCTTTTGGAAATTGTGCAGTCTGGAAACAAAGTTTTAAAAGTAGTTTGATTCCCCTTGATTACTTACGGGGTATGCTGAGGGTGCAGGTTTGGTCAGCGGAAATCTGAGATGAGAGATGCATGTGTGGGGTGTCACTGAAATGTGCTAGTGCACCACGTTCACTGACTTACAGCCTCACCAATGACAGGACGCATGGAACCACACTGGTAGCATAAGTGATATTTGCCCGTGTTTCCAGACTTGATGGTCACACTAGTTTCTCACGTGTATAAATGTTTAGGACAAAGACTTCCTTTTTTATTCCCCCCCTTCCTCTTCCGCATCCTACTGGCTGCTCCGTCTTGGTCCATAGACGTGCTGCTCAACTTTAGGCTTGCTTCTGTCTTCCAACTACTGATCCAACCCTCTTCTATTTTCTTTCACCTTTGACTAACGAACCAACATTTTCTTCCTCAACTTAATTTTCTGACTTACTCCTTAGCCCTTCTAAGTTGTATGTATTACCACAACTCCCCCCGAAACTTCCAAATGTCTCCTAGTAGTAAATCCAACAACTTCTTGGTTAGGTGTTCAACCTCAAATAGCCCAAGCATTTGACAGCAGTCTGAAGTGGATGCTTCCTTAGCTGTCCCTCCCTAAGAACCAAGAACTACCTGTGACCACCATTCTTCTTCCGAGTCTTCTCTGCCTCACCTTGCCTTTGGGTGGCATTTCCCAAAGCCCTGATCTTGTCCGTGTCCTCTGGCTCTGTACGCTGCTTACGTGACCTTTCACACTTCGGTTTGTATAGACACTTCCTAAACCCCAGTCACTTCCATCCTGCCATCGCTATTCATGGCCATGTGTGACAACTGTACTGTCATTTAAATCCCAGAAGACCACACTCAGACATACTTGTTTTGTAAGGAGACCACCACTGCCCCCAGTAGAAAACCAGCAGCACGCGGAACAGGGATGTTGCCCACACGAAGCTCTGCCTAACCTGTGGTGGCGGAGACGCACGTACAAGGGAGACCAGTCAAGATGCTCAGAAACCAAACCCAGCCTTTCTCAACAGGAAACCTCTTATTTCAGGGTCCACGTGTCCCTAGGTTAATCTGTACAAGTGTATGTATTGCACATTTTGGGGAAGACAAACTTTCTGATAATGTAAATGCTTAATGCTGATTTCTCTGAAATTTTAACTGCCTATAAAACATCTTTTGGGTTTTCTGCCAGCACCTCACAACTTAGCATTTCTCAAACATCTCCAAGTCTACCCCTCTTGGGTTCCCTGTCTCAAATGAGGTCACACCACCTTCTCACTCAGGACAGAACACCTTGAGTCCCCTCTCCCCACAGTTACCCTGGGCTCAGAGGCTTCAGTCTGTCCCCTGCTTACGTCTTAATACTACTGCCTGCCGGACCGTCAACGAACTGATTACCTCCTAAAAACGGTCTGCTTTTTGGGGGCTGGGAGGAATGTTTACATTTTTTCTTTTAAGTGGCATCAGAGTTCTCAAAACAGGTTGGATCACATCACTCTCCAGCTCAAATCTTTAAACCACTACTACCGCCTCCTCCACGGTCCAGAACTGACCGTTTAGTCCAGTCACACTTCAGACGGTGGGTGGGTGGCATCCCCTTCCGTCTCTGTGGGACCCCCAACCTCCTGCCGCTTCCCCTCTGTGCTCCGACAGCGCTCTGTTCCGCCGCGTGGTTGTGCCGCGCCCAGCACCGTCTCTCTGCCCTCCCCGCTAGGGAGTCACTCCAACCAAAGGGTGCTGCCGATCATGGTGTCAACACGCCCCCCAGCACCCCTCCCCAACTTCTCCCTGAAAAGCTGGAAGGCAGTTATGACACGTAGACTCAGACACACGTCCCAAATCTTCGAAGCTGCCAGAGTGAAATGTGAGCGTCACTATTCCCTCTCCCCACACATCCCCCTTTGTCCCCACCTAATGGGGAATGGTGCTCAGAAGGCGAGGAGGAGGCCAGACCGCCGCAGAGACGCACAGGGAGCAGCAGTCCCAGTGGCCTGTTCCGGTCTGTGCAGGAGACACCCCTTCCCCACACTCCATCCCAGTCCTGGCATGTGAGCCAGTACGTGGTGAAAGACAAGAAAGACCATCCAAATCATTTTTCTGTCATGTTTGAGCAGGAGGAGTTGCCATAAATGCATGCTGCCTATTTCATCATTTAGCCAGCGCTGCGCATGGTACACGCACACACAGGTGAGCGAGCAGGAGAAAACAGATGTCACGGAGGTAGTTAAGTGGGAAGTAGGTTCTAAATAGGTGCCAGGAAGAAAAGGTGGGGCGCTGAGGGGAGAGCATTTCCAGCCAAGGAAACAACAGACAGGTAGAGCAGGAGAGTGGGCAACTCGGAAGGCAGTGCTTGAAAGTGAGGCTAAGCCAGGTGAGTCGGCACCAAACTGGGAGGTGCTGCAGAGTGTAAGTGGCAGGCTGGAGAACGTCCCCCCAAAGACACCGACATCCTAATCCCTGGGAAAGGAGAATCAACACTGTCTAGGAATTAAGGTTGCTGACTGGCTGGTCTTCAGGAGATAACCCTAGATCACCTGGGTGGGCCCAGTGCAGTCACAAAGGTCCTTGGTGGAAATGGCAGCCAGAGGCGTTCATGGACTCAACTCATCTTTGCTAGATGGGAGGAGGAGCTATGAGCCAGGGAAGGTACGTGGCTTCTAGGAGCTGGAAAGGCGAGGGGATAGATGCTATGCAGAGCCTCCAGAAGGGAATTACTAACACAGGCTGAAACCGCGACCTTTGCTGACATTCTGTGTCCATTCTGACCTCCAGAATGGTGACACGTGCGGCGAGGAGCCGGTTTGTGGTGATGGGTTACAGCACCAATAGAAAACTAAGACACCATGCTATAACACGAACTTGAGATACTTCTGGTAATGGGGCAAACTTGGTTTAGTCTCAGAGTCTTTGATACTCACTATACTGTGCTGGGCAGACGAGACTGAACAGTAAGACAAGCACATCTCTGCCTTCTGGCTAACACGTCCAGTCTGGAGGCTGGGGGACAGTGAAGAAGGTGCCAGAACAGCCCAGGTGAGAAGAGGGGTGACAGCAGTGGGGTACACGTTAATAGCTGAGGGACTTGAAGGCAGAGGTCAGAATGTACGGTATCCCTCCCTGCTTCCGGAGCCCAGGATTTAATCCTGCAGACCAGGAGTGTCCGGCCCGTGGGCTGCACACAGCTCAGGCTCGCTGTGAATGTGGCCCAACACAAAATCGTAAATTCACTTAAAACACTGAGATTTTTTTGTGATTACATGTCACCATGTATGTAATGTGTGGCCCAAGACAACTCTTCCAGCATGGGCCAGAGAAGCCCAAAGGTTGGACACTGGACACCCCTGGTCACAGACCTTCAATAAATATTTGTAAATGAATGAAGGACACTTGGAAGAAAAGACAAGACTGGCTGGCTGGATGTGGACGGTGAAGCAGGAAGAGGAAACTATGAGTTTCAAGCTTCTGCTAGACTGACGGGGTGGGTGAGGCTGGGCGGTCGGTCCTGCCGTTAGCCCAGACTGAGGACAGAGAAGGTTCGATGTTTTCTGGGAGCAGACAAGGAGTTCCACTTTGGAACCCTAATTGTTGATTAATGCTACATATATTTATTGAGCATATACTCCATGTAAGGCCTTTGCCAAGAACTGGGAATTGAACAGGAAAGACAATAACCAGGGTCTCTCATCTCACACAGCCTACATTCCAGTAGCAAGTGACACATGCACTTAATCCCAAAAAGGGCGCTGGGAGACAGGACAAGGTGGAACACCTGTGAGACTCAGGAGGCAAGTGGAGGAGGCACCGGCCAAGTAGAGGAGAGAGGGAGGTGAGAGATGCATGCTGGAGAATGATCAGGAAAAGGTGGGAGCAGAAGTCATGCAAACGAGGAAGGCTGGTCGTGGCGGGGGGGCTCAAGCATCCTTCCTCTGGGAAAGAATAAAAACAGAACAAGGAACGACCTTCTCCTTGCACTACCACCATCCATCCTTCCTCTGTTCTGTAAGTCTTCTTGTAAGGCTCGAATGCCTGCTGAAGGTCAGGACCGGTTCTTATTTTTGTGTGTGTGTTATCTATAGTGCTGGGATTGTTTTGAACACAGTAAGGCAGGGTAAATTCTTTGATTTCCTAATTAACCTTCATGTAATCCAACTAGTGTTGATCCTCGTTAGGATGCTAAGAATATACTCCATGTAGCATGGAGTATTCATATGGAGTATACATATACCCGAGAAAGTAATTTGGGAGGCGTTGGGTACGTTTCACAACTCGTGGCAGATGTAACACCGAAGAGGCGTCTCAGAGAGAGACTGGGGAAGGGAATGAAGAGCCTGCCTTGTCGCCGCTGCGTCAAGCCACGCGGATGACAACAGCAGAGAACAGGACACTGTCTGTCCTCTGATGCTAGGACCACAAATTGAGATGCGAGGAGAGTTCCATGAAATTTGTCAGCGGCCAAAGGAATTTTCATGAGCAAAATTTTTCGTGTTATATACTAGAGTTTTCAGAAACCAAAGTCCAAGTGTTACATAAAGTGAAATGTACTTGGAACCCCCTATGTCCACCACGCTCTAGCAGGCCATCACCTACTCGGGGTCCCGACCCACAAGCCTTACCCGATGGGCCCACAAGCCGAACCACCCCCGTCTTGGGTGTGGCCATCACATGACTGGGGGTAAGCGTCACGTCCACTGCTCTGTTTTAGGGAAGGAGGGAAAATCCCACGCGTGTAGCTCCAACTTCACATAAGTCCCCTCTGCCCCGAATACACTACTACTATTTTTAGCTGCCTTGTCCCAGTTCCTAATGCAGAATCCAATAAGGCTATAGTAGAAACGTATGTAATTTATAAAGATAACTTAAATGAATTTTGAATTTTAGCTCGTAAAGAAAAATTAAAGTGGATTTCCAGGGAATGCTGGTGTTAAGGAATGAGGATTTTCTCTTACATTTCCTTCCTTTTATAATTTTAGCTTTTACATTAAGTTTCAGATTCACTTTAAAATGGTGTGAATAACAGGATTAAATTTTTAATATATATGGCTACTGTTCTAGCACCATTTGTTAAATAGTTCCCCTCGTTTTTGTCAAAAATCAATTGCCCATGTGTGTGCAAATCTATTTCTGGATTCTCTATTCTGTTCCATTAATCTATAGACTTCTTACACCAATATTCAACTGTCTTGATTACTGTAGCTTGATTTACTGCAAATCTTAAAATCAGATAATGAAATTTCTCCAACTGTGTCCTCTAAATTGCTTTGACTAGTCTAGGCCCCTTGCATTTCCATTTTAAAATCAGCTTGTTTGTTCTAAAATAGAATACACAACCCTGCTGAGATTGATTGGGATTGAGTTGAATCTACAGGTCAACTCCGGGAGAACAAACATCTTAATAACACTGAGTCTCCCATTCTACACACACAGTATCTATCTTCATTTATTTAGTTTCTCAGGCATGTTTTCTAGTTTTCAGGTATGAGTCTTATTTACATTAAAAAATATTCCTAAGTAATTCAAGTTTTCGGTATTATTGTAAGTGGTATTTTAAAGTTCATTCCCAATTGTTCATTTATATATAAAGAAAAACAGCAATTTTTTTATATATTCACCTAGCATCTTACCACTTTGATAAATTCCCTTATTAGTTTCAGTGGCTTCTTTGTAGAATCTTGAGGGTATTCTACACACAGGGTCATACTGTCTGTGAATAAATTCAGTTTTACTTCTTTTCACAGGCGATTTTCAATCTGGGGGCTACAGACAGAGCCCCCACAGGGCTGGTGCCAGGGCTGGCTGGCCTCGCACAGGGCCCTCTCTGCAGGTCTCGGGCTGGGGGCTGTGTCAGCAGGTGGCTCTGGCAGCTAGTATGTAACCCAGGGGCAGAGGTCACTCCCTTGACAGCAGGCTCAATCTCAAAGGGGCCCGGGCCTGAAGGCAGTGCACTCAGCTTGCTACCAGCACAGGGGCAGGGGTGTACAAGACCCCCCGTTCCCACTGATGACCTTAGGTGTGGGCTTCATCTTAGCTGTGACCTACCCGACCTTTTGGCTGCCACGGTATTCTCACTCAAGGAGGGTGTCCTCACTTGCTGCAGACTTGCCGTCAGTAACTCCATCTTGAGCAGCAAGGAGAGACAGATGAAAAGGGCCACCTCCCAGGTCAAATCAACCTTGTCCAGACCAAGTGGCAGTGGCCTCCCTGACAATTAGGAATAAGCGAGACCAGCAGTGGTGGCAGGGCGTTGGGTGGCCCGAAGCGAGGAGTCATGCGTGTGACGGCCGTGTGAGGGTGATGTGTGGCACAGTCATTGCAGAGTACCCGTATTCTGCTGTGTACAGTGTGCACTTTTTTGGATCAAATTTTTGAGGGGAAATAAGGAGGCACATCACACAAGGGCATAATGATTGCAGACTGCGGGCATAACAACTCTGCATATGTGCGTGCGCGTTATACACGGGAGTGCATTATACACGGCAAAATACGGTAGGCTCTCCCTCCCAGGAGCACGCCCACGCCCTTCTTCCCCCACAGGCGCTGCATCTCCTAAACGCCGGGGGTCCCCACGGGACCTGCAACCAGGGGAGCAACGGGCAGGGGCAGCTAGTCCTGGAAAAACGCCCTGAACCTGTCTCTGGGGCCCCTTTGCTCTGACTTCCCAGTGAGCCAGAGCAGCCCCGCCTAGTCTGTCTCCTGTCACTTCTTCTGTTCTAAGCCCTTCCTTGTGTCACTGTCCCTTGCTTTAATAAACACTCTCAAAATTAAAACAAACAGCAAAGCAAAAAGTAGGCTTTTAAAATTTTCTCCACTTTTTTCAAAACCTCAAGTGTGCAGTAGGCAGACTTCTAGCGTGCCGCCCACAGACCTCGGCCTCCTGGTTCACGCTCCTGTGCAACCCCCACCCTGGACTGTGGGCCTGGCCAGTGACTTGTTTCTACCAGAGCGACGGCACGTCACTGCTGTGATTAGCTTACAAAAGACTGTGACTCCATCCTTCCGGCGCGTCCCCTCTCTCTTCCCTCAACCTTCCCCTGGCCCTGCTCCCCGAGGAAGCAGGCTGCCAGGCTGTGAGCTGCTCTACGGAGAAGCCCATGTGGCGAGGAACTGAGGGTGGCGTCTGGCCCAGAGACGGTGGGGGTGGGGGGAGGCACGGCAGCCAAGGGGCAGCACCAGGGAGACCTCCGTGGTGACGGCTCTGTGTCTTGATAGCGAGGTTACACGGATCTACACGTGATAAACTGCAGTAAAGCTCTGCACGCACACAGTACTAATGTCCATTTAGTTTTCTCTCTGCTCTCCCTGTGCGGTTCCCCTCCATCACGGCCGCACCCACCACTCCCATCTGGCCCCGACCCAGGCGTCTCTCCTCCACTTTGCCCCTGCGCCGCTGCACGCCTGAGAGACAGCTCTAACTGGACGTCCTCTGTAATTCTGACCTCAACTTCAGATCTTCACTTCAGCTCCCCCCGGCCCCACAGGCAAGTTTCAGTCGTCCTTCCTCCTCCCTCTCCCTGGGCTTCCCTGACACCCTGCACTTGATTTGCTCGGAGCCTTCTTTCTGCAATCCATGTCTGCTCTCGCCGCCTCCATTATGACTCCAGACCCCATGAACACCTGCTCAAAACCGGGGAACACTCCCTCGTGGGCCGCTGGGCCTCCCCACTCACCAGCCTGCCCTGCTCTGTAGAGCAAGTATCCGAACAGCCTTTTCCACAGGACAGCTGACAATTTTATACAGAACAAGAGTGGAAAGGGGAAATCTAGAGGTCTGAGTGAGTAGAAGTCAAGATAATTCTCCAAGAACAGTGAAATACAATTTCTTAATTTAAAATTTGTCTTTACACAGTTATGCAGATTATATGCAATAATGTTTTTAGGCATTATAGGCAATAATAATCTTTTTCTATAAAAGTGAAACATACATACCTTAACTCTACGAGCAATGCTTAGGAACTGGCAGGTTTTATCATAAAGCTGTTCTAGGTTTTCTCTGTCCCAGTAGAAATCAGGCGTGATCAAGAAGTCTGAACTCAAGTTTATACGGTGTCTTAAAAAAAGGAAAATCATAAATTGTATTTTCTGTCTTGAATTAAAAATCATGGCCTCTTTACTTTTTTTTATTTTAACGGTGCTTTAAGGTAACTGTTGACCTTATAATACTTTTAAAAAACATAAATAAAAAACTTAAAAAAGAACTTTTAAATTTGCAACCAAGCTAATTTAATCTTTATTGTTAGTATTTATGAAGTAGTTTTAAAACAAAACAAGATTTAAAAAATTTTTCTTTTTCATTAAAAAATTTTATAATATACACACTTTTTTTTTGTGGGTAGGTAATCACATGGCTCAAAAAGTAAACAGTAAAACCTGACCAGTCTTGCTCCCATTCTTACCCCCATCTTTCCCTTCCCCCGCCCCCACAGGTAACCTATGTTAGTTTACCTGTATCCCTCCAGGGCTTGCACGCACACAGAATTTCTCTCTCTTAATTTCTATCTGTTTTTACATAACAGGTCTAAGGTTACTTTAAGTGAAACGTAAGTTGTAGTAGTAACATATAAATAGCTGCTCACTATAAAAAAGGAAAAAACCTAGAGAATTCAGAAAACAGCGGTAGGGCCTCTTATCGGAATACACAGCTCAAATCCCTTAGGCCTTGTCAACACATTCCTGTGTGTTTTTTTCAGGTCTTTTTCTGTGCATACGTGTATGTGCGCGCATATGTGTGTGTGGTATATACACATCAAGATAAACATGAACACTTCGTTTTGTTGGCCTACACAGATCATACCATATACAATTTGTGATCTATTTTTTAAAATCACAAATTTTATGAAAACTTGTCATTCTTCGCAGATTTGCCACATGCCTTTTAAGAACACATAAGGAATCTTATTGTAAAGAGAAGAAAACTTAGGATAAGGACGGCAAGACTCTGTGAAACTTATTCACAACCTAAGCGTATTTAGCCCTAGCTCCTGAGTTTTGATAACTGGCTATATCAAATTCTGCTTGCGTTACTAAGAGAAGAGAAGAGACTCTACCCCACTTCTCAGAGAACTCAAGGCTTTAGATCAGCAGTGGGTGCTTCTGGGGAGTGGGGTTACTTTCTTGGTACCCTGAGTTAGGGTCCCTGAGCTATGAGGAATGTGTAGATGATGAAACGCAGGACCACTGCTCTCCAGGCCAAGCATCTGAGGAGACCCTGGAAAACAACTCAGATCAGCTACTCACGCTGAACTCTAGCAGTTCATCCCCCCCGACACTGGAGGGGACAAACCACTGAACAAGATTCAAGACTTTCCTTCCATGGATCCTGGGAAATTATGAGAATAATAAACAGAAACTTTTTCACACACTTAACTCAAGATGATGCATTACTATTTCATCAACTTTAAGTCACAGTTCTCCCCATTTTCACATCTCTGAAACTGGGAGGCATCTTTATAATTGACGATATCTTAGAGGTGGCACTTGTGACTTGTCAATGCCTTCAACAATGTATGTATGCCCAAGAGAGAATGTGATAGAATCTACATCCAAAAAAAAACCCTATTTCATCAAGTGCAAAATATAGATTCTGTGATAAAAAGCCCCGTATCACAGTTTTAACTGGCATTGTTACTCCTCTCCTGTGGCATCTTATGGGGTCTCCGACAGTGAATAGGGTACCTAACTTTTCTGTAGCCATTAGTTCTGTTTAGCATTATGAGGCAGTGGTATACTTCTACTGAGAGTTCCCATTATCCAAACGCTAGAATGTATCTTCCTACCTTCAGAGAACATCAACTACACTCTCTCACGTAGGTGTAATGCAGTTTAACTCTCCTGTCTTTTGCACACGTAGAACTTCCTCCAGCAGAGTCCTAACACAGCCCAACTGCTATTCATGGGCAAGAGTTCTCCACGCTTACAAGGAATGAATTGAAAACAGCTGCAAGTCCCACAAAGGTGCCAGTGTTGGCTCTTTCCTATGGAACTACAGGAGTGTTTTCTTGAGATCATGAAATATATGAAATATTTTATTTACTGGGAACATTTTACCTTAGGGCAAAGAGTTCACCCATTTTCTGCATAACTTCTTCGTGAGATAGTTTCACTTTCCTCCCAGCTTTTAAAGCCTATTTGGGAGGGAAAAAGAAAACATACGTACATACACAGACATCTGCACTGAGCAACAGGGCTGCGAAGCAAACTCTGACACGGCGTAATTTCAATCCAGCGTACTTGCTATGACTGGATAACTGTCTCCCAGGCATCTCACTCCGAGACAATAAATAAATAAATAATCAATCTTATCAGGTAGAACTTTTGTATTTCCTTTTCTCATTTCCCTTCTCACCTGCATTTTCTATGATGTATGCTCCTAATCTCCTATTGAAAATTCTGGGCATCTTATCCCAAGTATAATTAGCTTATTCATTCACCATAATACAAAATTAATTATCGTAAATGTGACTTTTAATGTATTTTCAAATTTTGATACATAACTTTATATGTATTTTTTATGCCACTATTTTCCTCATAATTTAGCAAATGACCTTTTTTTAATCAAGAAAAGTGATCAATCTCCTTCCTTAGAGAGGAAACACTTTGATATTTTTTAATTCCGCTGCATAAAAATACTGCGCCACCAGAAGAAAGTAATTTGAATTTTATGCTTGAAAAGTAAAAACAAATATAAAGTTTCTTTATTGATCATTTTATATGTAATTGGCTGTTCTTTTTCTTAAATGAAGTATAGCTTCCTTAGTGTTTATTATTTTTTCATTGTACTCCAAAATATATTATTAGAGTGGGAAATTTGTTTTTTTCCCCAAACTGAAATCAATCCTTGAAAACGAACAAAAGACTGGTATAATTACCTCTGGAATTGACTGAATGGACTCCACAAACTTATCCAGTGATGCCTCCCAAATAGCCAGTTTCACTGGGGAAAAATTTCACAATGGATCATTTCTATATCGTCACATTCACAGTTTTCCAAAATGTAGAATTGCACAGTACTTTCCCTGCCACTTCCACAATATTTTAAGATGCAAATGTGCTAAAAATTTGAAACTAAAGTTCAAGAATAGTTAGTTATCTTAAAGGACAGCACTACAGTGGAAAATGATGGAAGAAACGAAGTAGATTTCCAAGCCCTGCTGGCAGACCAGAGCTCCATTAGGTGGAGTTCCTGACTTTCTAATGCTGTGGCTCGGGGACCAGAGAGTGTGGGGCACACCCTGGGGTGAAGCGGGGCTCTGTGGACGAGGCAGCGTCGGACTTTCCGCCTTCCCTCCCTCTCACAGGGGCTCCGAGCATAGCTCAGAGGTGTCCAGGCCCCCAGGCTGGTAGGGCTGGGTTCCAGCAGCAGCCTAGCACAGACTGGTGAAAATGAAAATCTTAGGGAACTTCTCCAGATTTATTCAGGTGCGTGGATCTTTCAAAAATCCCCCAGAGCCATGAGGACTCTCTTGCACTTCTGTGAAAAACTGGAGTGTGTTTTTCTACACCGAGGCCTGTGCCAATGTCACTGGGCGGGGTGTTCTCTGCCTGCATTGGAGACCACCTGGTAGCGATCGTCATGTAGACAGGAGGAGAGGAAAATAAACACAGTAATAATAACAATCTAAAAATATTTTTGGAGAGGGTAAGCTTTATCAATACAATTATGAGTAGCTTTAGAACAGATACCTGTGTTTATACTCTGTATCATTCTTCTCTTGGAGGGGGAAAAAAGTGAAAGGAATGCTAAGGCTTTGCTGAATATTCTGTGAAAACATGCCTAAATCTTTACTGAACACTTAAGCTTCCCTTGATGAAATGAAAACTCTGTAATCCCTTGTTTAATAAGTAGTGTTAACTCACCTGAAAGGCAAAGAGCATTCGAGAAAGCAAATTTCTCTAGAATGGCGTCATCTAAATCTAGCTCTGAATTCAACCTGATTTCCCCGTGGTGAAGTTTAGACTGCCCCCTGTGGAAAGGGAAATGAAAAGAATGTTCTAAATCTTAAAACACACTTAATTTTTTTTCTTTTGAAGAAGTCGCCTTACAATCTTTCTATAGGTCATTTTGGTAATCTGTATCAAGGGACTTATAAATGTCCTTATACTCTTTGACCCAAGTAATTCCACTTCTTGAAATTTATTCTATGGAAACAAAAGATGCAAAGAAAGATTGTATACAAAAACTTTACAGTCCAGTGTTTAACAGTAAAAAAGTAGGAAAGAAACTAAATGTTCCATAGGAGAATGGTTCAATCATAGTATCCCACACAACAAAAATTATAAAGCATATTCTGCAAGGATATTTACTGGAAAGGGAAAATAATCACAACAGATTGTTAATCCAAAGAATGTTGACTGAAAGTATACGCACCGTGCCATCTAAAATCACACTGACGTGGTGTGGCTGGGGAGGTAGACGGGAAGCTGAGAAACTAAGGTGTACGTGTAGCGAACTCTGGAAGGGAGTGGGGAGGTGGGGAAGTGGAGGGAATTTAGAATTTAAACATCAGAGAATTACAGGGTGAATCTTCCCAAAAGATGTCGGACAGAGAGAGATGGGCAAAGAGGGCTGGACAGACAGAATCTGCTCTGAAGACGTCAGGTGGAGGGAAACAAACACACAAGGACGAGAAAGACAGCAGGGCTGACAAGACCCTTCACGAAAGGAGCTCAGCCCAGGCCCCAGAGGCGAGTGGGGCGGCAGCCACTGGGGGCAGAGGTGCTAACTGCAGCATCAGGGTTTCCGTCAGGAGTCAGTGACATGATGCGTGACAAGCACCGGGGACAGTGCCCGGCCCAGGGCACGCAGCTGAGCTCCACTGGCCACTATTCCTTAGCTCTTCTCCCATCCGGCCTCTTCCTGATGGTCCTAAAGCTCTGCTCTCATCACTTCCGTTCCTAACACGAATCCTCTCCCCCCTATTCCACTAGACAAGCAACTCCAGGAGGAAAAAGACCTCTTGACCTGGTCCCTGCTGCCTTCTCTTTCTGTCCTAACAGCTCTCTCTCCGTTTCCTCCCCCTTGCTGAGACAGGCAGCTGCTAGGGTGTGGCCCACCCCTGCACCTCACCTGGGAATGTATGTCAGGACCCCGTTTCCTCAGGTGGTTCTCTTCGATCAATCACCCCCTGCCCCCGGTACATTTCCCATTATACCGAAAGTATGGCAACAGGGAAAATGGGTTTACTTGAAGAGAAAACTACCAGAATAATTGGAGGGGTTCAATTTTCATGAAGGCATACTACTTTACTGATTTAGGCTGCCTATGAAAGTTACCATTGTGGGGTTATACTACCGACTTGTTTTAATTTATGGGTAGCCTGAGAAAGTAAAAAAGTAACATCTACCCACTAATTGTTAATATATAGGGGAGAGCAAAGCAGGTTCACAGTAGTGACTGCGTGAAACACAAGGGTTCATTCTTGTATTACTACTCACTGATTACTGCATTACTTTCCAGATGAACAACTGTAAACCTCCCTTTGCCCACCCGCGTATTTTTAGGCTTCACATTTGTAACAATAACTTTTTCCTTAAAATTTGTCTCCAAATTCATAAATTATCTCCTCTACTACTTTTCCCTCATTGTTTCAAGTGCTTTTTTGTGAACTGGGTAAACTGCTTACTCTGTTTTTATGTAGTTCAGCTCTTCGTTTTCCCAGTGCACCAATGCAATTTCATAGGGCTGGTTTTCATGTTTTTCTAGAATCTGCAACACATGCCTCATCTAGAACAAAAGGAAAATTAACCAGAAATTATATAGTGTTAATGCTTATAATATTTTCATTACATTTGATGACATTTCTTCTGTTGTTTAGTTTTTATAGAAAAGGCAAATTCATTGTGATATTAAACTCATCATGAAGATATATTCATTTGTCTTTGCATTTGGAAACCACAAATGAGCAGAAAGAAAATAAAAATTATCATTATCCCACAGCCCACAGAAAACCACCAGTAAATTTAGGGTTTGTATTCTTTAAGTTGAACAACACAGAGGTGAGTGCGGAAAGTGACAGTCTCTCTCTGCTCTCCTAAAGTCCTAACGCCCACGCCATTAAATCTGGTGCACAGCCTTCCAGACATTTTCCCGTGTGTGCGCATATGCACATTTACTTGGCTTTTTATAGAAGTGGGATCACAGTGTGCATATGCGCATTTTCAGACGAGATCGGTGCGTTCCGGGGGGTGTGGTCAGAGACCATATGCACATTTTCCAGGCTGGCTCTTTGATGCAGAAACTGCAATGTCCTTAACCATCCTAAGTGTCCACCCGCGGGGGATGGGTCCTACTCTCCACTTGGACAAGGTCGCAGTGCGCATCCTTACGCGTGTAGCTTCCGGGGCTTGTGGGTATATTTCTTTAGGAAATGCTAGATGAAAAGACATGCACACTACAATTTTGGTAAATACTGCTCAACTGCTCCTCCACACAGTTTTTCCAGTTTTAGAATCCAAACATTTATGAGAGCGTACTTTAAAAACATGGCGTACTGTCTGCCTTTTACATCACTTTCAAGTAGCCAATTCGTACTGTCTTTTCCTACACTTCTCGGTCATTTATATTTCCCTTTGCTTCAGGAACCCCTCCAGCCACCTTTCTCTGTGTGTGTGTGTGTGTGTGTTTGCTCTTAGTAAAATGGGGATTGTGTAAGGTATGTTTTTTAACTAGCTCTGCTATTATATGGGAATATTTGTAACCTGCTCTTTTACTGTAACTGTATTGTAAACAGTCTCCACCATTCCCTAGGGATATTTTTCCACAAGATTTTTAAGAGCTATCATAATATTCTGCATTTACTGCAGTTGTAGTCAAATTAGCTAAATTTGTAGTATTTAATGAACTCCCTACTATCATGTATTTTGGTTATATCTCAGTTTTGCTACTGTAAACAACTTGTAGATGGATCTCCCTATACATCATCCATCATGCATAACTGCAATTATCTCCTCTGGGTAATTTTCTAGACGTGAAATTGCTGAGTTACATATAGTAAAGCTTTAATGTGCAGTATCAAACTGCCTCTAAAAAAGGTTGTATTAAAAAATTTTCTTCAGAATCCTGACTCTTCAGTGTCCCAATCAGGATAATGAGGAAATTATTTCCTGTGAGTGATAAAAAGTTCTAGAAAACTGATTTAGAATCAGACTCAGACCAGCTAGTTTCCCGTGAATGCTGTGTATATTATTAATTTTGTAATTATCATGTAGATTATCATGTACAAAGTATTTTCCCTCTGTCTCCAGTATAGCTACAATTGTTCTGATTCTCCAAAAATTAGTGTATGCTCAGAGAGTGGAGAAAGTAGGAATGTATAAGCCAAAATATATATTTTGGAAGATAAAATTGCTAGGATAAATATCACATAATACAGAGAAAATAAAATGCGGATTATCTGTTAATTTATGTTCCAATGGCTCAGACTGTCAGGGGCTAATTAACAATTTATTTCGGAAAACTGTATTTTTATACTTTTACAATTTATACTTACAGTCTTGTCTTTCACATTCCAGAACACAGCAGCTCCTTCCCTGATTTAAAAGAATAAAAGAATCAGTGAAGTTAAAAGTAGAATACATTCTTTAGCACTGTATCTATAAAGCCATGCTTAGAGGTAACTTGTTGAATGTATCCAGAATGCATTAAAAAACATATGATTTATTACTGATTTGACTTTATGGTTCCTAGACAGATTTGCCAAAACATAACTACTCTTTGAACTCTTAATAAACACTTACCCTTCAAAAATTTTGTCCTAGTTTTCAGAATAACTATTATTGTAATATTATATGAGGGCAGACACCCCCCCAAAACTGGAATTATCTTCTGGAGGATGGGCCCTTGGACTCCAGGCTTCCCCCAGGTATGTGATTGTTTTAGGGTCCCATTTGCATAAGTACACTAGCTGGCATTGTTGTGAGAGGGTGCGTTTGGCTTCAGTGATTTTTTTTTGTAGAGGCTTTCAATGTATTTGCCCATTTCATGACGAGTGATTCACAAGTGCACCAGCCCACACAGCCCTCAGTGTTTAGCAGTTTTTGACCAAGAAACGGCATGACCCTGATGGCCCACCCTCCCTATTCCCCGATCTCGCCACAAGCAACTTAATTTTGTTCCCCTGGATGAAAAGAGTCCTCAAAGAGCAATGTTTTGCTGGTGTGGAAAAAGTGTGTGTGTGTGTGGGGGGGAAGGGCAGGAACACTAAAAGGCATCAAAATCAGCAAGTTGGAAAATTGGTTTGAGCAGTGGAAAAATGTTGATAGGTGTATTGCATCAGATGGAGAGTACTCTGAAGGTGACTAAAGTTCAAACAAGTAAGAATACCAAACTTTTTACAAATTAAGTCCTGGGTCTTTTTGGGTGCCCCCTCATTTAACTTGATGTATCTTGACTATTTCATACCTGCTTCAATTGAGACTTGTCTTAGCTCTCCTATAGACTCGGTTATCAGAGAAAAATGAAGGGTCACAATTTTAACAGTCTGGAATGAAGAGACTGAGGTAAATTAAAGCCTGAGGTGGCCACGGGCACCCAAGGAGCGAGGCTGCCCGTCCACACGGTGCTTGCGGCAGAGCTACTGCGCAATGAAGCCACGGGAGGCCCTCTGCACCCAGTGCTCACTTTGGTGAAATGTAAGGCCTGTAAACCAAGTGGTTTTTAAAAATATTTTATTGATTATGCTACTACAGTGGTCCCATTTTCCCCCTTTCTTCCCCTCCACTCTGCACCCCACCTCCCACCAGCATTCCCCCTCTCAGTTCATGTCCATGGGTCGTACACATAAGTTCTTTGGCTTCTACATTCCCCACGCTATTCGTAACCTCCCCCTGTCTGTTTTGTACCTACCATCTCTGCTACTTATTCTCTGTACCTTTTCCCCCTCTCTCCTCCTCCCACTCCCCTGCTGTTAATCCTCTGTGTGGTCTCCATTTCTGTGATTCTGTTCCTGTTCTAGTTGTTAGTTCATTTTTAGGTTTGGTTGTTGCTAGTTGTGAGTTTGCTGTAGTTTTACTGTTCATATTCTTGATCATCTTCTTTTTCTTAGATAAGTCCCTTTAGTATTTCATATAATAAGGGCTGGGTGATGATGAACTCCTTTAACTTGACCTTACCTGGGAAGCACTTTATCTGCCCTTCCATTCTAAATGATAGCTTTGCTGGATAGAGTAATCTTGGATGTAGGTCCTTGCCTTTCATGATTTCCTATACTTCTTTCCAGCCCCTTCTTGCCTGTAAGGTTTCTTTTGAGAAATCAGCTGGTAGTCTTACGGGAACTCCTTTGTAGGTAACTGTCTCCTTTTCTCTTGCTGCTTTTAAGATTCTCTCCTTATCTTTCATCTTGGGTAATGTAATGATGATGTGCCTTGGTGTGTGCTTCCTTGGCTCCAACTTCTTTGGGACTCTCTAAGCTTCCTGGATTTCCTGGAAGTCTATTTCCTTGGCAAGATTGGGGAAGTTCTCCTTCGTATTTTTTCACATAAGTTTTCCATTTCTTGCTCTTCCTCTTCTCCTTCTGGAACCCCTATGATTCGGATGTTGAAATGTTTAAAGTTGTCCTGGAGGTTCCTTAGCCTCTCTTAATTTTTTTGAATTCTCATTTCTTCATTCTTTTCTGGTTGAATGTTTCTTTCTTCCTTTTGTTCCAAATTGATGATTTGAGTCCTGATTTCCTTCCTATCATTGTTGGTTCCCTGTACATTTTCCTTCATTTCACTTAGTGTAGCCTTCATTTTTTCATCTAATTTGCGACCAATTCAACCAATTCTGTGAGCACCCTGATCACCAGTGCTTTGAACTGTGCACCTGATAGGTTGGCTCTCTCTTTACTACTTAGTTGTATTTTTTCCTGGAACTTTGATCTGCTCTTTCATCTGGGCCATTTTTTTTTTTATCTAGGTACATGTTATGTAGTAAGGCGCAGAGCCTTAGGTGTTCACCAGGGCAGGGCAACCCATGTCACTGCGTTGTGAAGCTGTATGTGGGGGAGGGGTCCGAGAGGGAACAGTGCTGCCTGTCAGCTCTCCGCCGGCTTCCAGGCCCCTCCACCGCTACCCACAAGCAAAATGGGCCCTTCTGGTGCTGATTCCTGGGTGGGTGGGTTTGTGTCCATTCTAGGACCCTGTGGGTCTGTCCCACAAACCCTCCTGTGAGGCTGGGAGTTTCTCTCGCCACCTTAACCCCCACAGGTGTTTTCATTCAGAGGTCTGAGGATTTATTTCCCCCTGCTGGAACCCTGGGTTACGTAGTCTGTCTAGCTCCCACGTTGTTCCTACTGGTTTATCTGCACACAAATGTGGGATTGCCCGCTGCGCCAGCCACTGCCTCGCCCTCCCTGGTCTTCCAGCTGCAGCCTTGCCATGAGTCCTCTCTGCCAGGGCGGCCCCTCTCCACCCCTCCTACTGGTCTGGGTGAGTGTTTCTTCTTTAACTCCTTGGTTGTCAGACTTACATACAGTTCAATTTCCTGGCAGTTCTGGTTGTTTTTTGTTTTTAAATTTGTTGTTGTCCTTCTTCTCATTGTGTGTGGAGACACAATATGTTGACCTATGCCTCCATCTTGGCTGGAATTAAAGCAAATGGTTTTTGATTTCTGAAGTTTGACATGCTGAGCTGTTTAGGTAGTAAATAAAAAAGGAAGTTATGGCTCTGGGTTATTGCCCTGGAGGAAGGAAACGTGGTAATGAAAGGAAGGTAGAAATACGCTCGCCCTATTATCCATCTTCAGACATTTCTTAAGCAAGGCACTTGGTATACGTAAAGGTCAATGATTAGCATATGGGATATGAGGATGAGTTCGTCTAGTTCCCACCCTCAAGGACCTGCCCATCTAGAAATGACTGCTACCTAGGACCAGCAATAACAATAGCATGTGATCAGCGTTCTAACAGAATTATGCAGCACACATACTTGATGTATATCGGAGGGACACAGTTCTCAAAGGACCAGCAGAGGAGCCAAGGAGAGAACGAGCGGAGGCAGCCTGGCAGAGTGCACGCCGTGGGCTCAGGCAGAAGGTGGGAGGCACAGGGCAGCGTCTCGGAGTAAACAGCCAACAGTCTGAATGGCTGTGGATGCGGGCAAGCAGTGGGCACTCGGGGTAGAGGCAGGGAGAAGACAACCCCTCAAGGAACTTTGTGCTTTGATAAGGTGCTGGGTCAAATTCCATAGACATTTAGGCTGGAGAGTACAGTGATCAGAATGATCTACTGAGAAATCTTCTCGCCTGTCACGGACAGACAGACTGGTGGTGGGTGAGAAGACAGGCAGGAGACCAGGCAGTAAGTCGTTGCAACAGGCCAGCATACAGTCTCAGGATGTGGACCTGAGAGGTGTTCAGCCACGGGCAGGGTTACGATTCCGAGTCACTGCTAGGCAGACGGGGGGCCTGGGGCACCGCGCGCCCTCTGCCCGGAGCTGGGCTCTGCATCAGGGAGCGCAGGAGCCCTGGGGGGCCACCAAGCACTTGGCGTATGCCTGGTTCCAACAGAGAGATGCTGTAGCGTAAGCCACACACCGGGTTTCAAAGACTTAGCTTGAAAAGGAGAACGTAACATTTCATGCACATGGAACAAATACAAAATAATATCGAGTGTAAACTGTAATCAAAAAAATTAAAATTACCCTGTCATGTTCTTAGGGAAAAAAATGGAAACTTTCATTAATTATTGACTGATTCCATGTTGAAATAATATTTTACGTATGTTGACTTAAATAAAATATACCATTACATTTATTTCAGGCATTATATGTATGATATTATTAGTCTTGTTCAAAATTAAATTCACCTTTTTTTAATAAAAAAATGTGGCTATCAGAAAATGTGTTACAGACGAGGCTAGATCTGTGGTTCCTATGATATTTCTAATGCACGTCACTGACCTAGAGGACATCAGAATTCAAATTCCTCACTTGAGGCAAAGGGGACACTATTTTACTTGGACTACATGTTAAACTCTCTAAAGCAGCATCAAAAGAAAGGGCACCCAATGCGCGTGCGCGGGCACACACACACACACACACACACACACACACATCAACACAAACTGACAGCTTCCAGTCATCATCTACCACAAGGACAGAGACCACAAAAACTTTATCAAAGCTTGGACCCTTACGGATGTTCCATTTGGTTCTGGTCTGCCACTAATCAGTCACCCAATTGTGGGTAATTCCCTTAATTCCTCTGACCCCTTGTTTCCTCAGGCTTTTCTGACGGGTTGTAAGGATAATATGAAATTGTTCTAAGTGATTTCTCTTCTTACTACCCTTCCCCTCAGCTACTCTGGAGTATCTGACACTAAAGCAACCTTTAAATGAAAGAAGAAGTATATGTGAGTCAGGGCTGCAGTGGAAGTCTCTGGACAGGCAGAGTGGGCAAAAGTGTGAGCTGAAGAGCTCCAGGCGGGGAGGGAGGGGAGGGGAGGGGAGGGGAGGGAGGGGGGAGGGGGAGGGGAGGGGAGGGCAGGGCAGGCGTCCTGAGTCTGATAAGGAAGAGGCACAGAAGATGAACAGGAAATAGGATGCTTTACCTATACTTGGCAAATGCAAATCCAGATTTATAAATTGAAACAAGCCAGGGGAAGAGTTTTTACTGGTTTTAAAAATTATTTTACAAGAAGATTCACCAGAAGATTCCTAAACTGACAAACGCTCCCAAATATAATAAGAATCAAGGGCTAAATTTAAATCACACATTTTGAACCCAGTTACTGCTGGGAGCGAAGGGGTGCCTGCACCTTTAGGGACCACATTACCTGACCAGGGGCCACCTCCCAGTGGGTTTTTTCCCTTGTCTTACCTGAAGAAGAACATTGTTCCAGGATCACCTTCTTTTGCAGAATTTTCCACACCCATCACTAAAATATTTGCTGCATCTGTGATTTAAAAAAAAAAAAACCTCACTGAAACACTAGGTCACGAGGTGACACAAGGTTTAAGAGGTACCTATAAACTTTTAATCAGGAACTCACGATCATTTCTTCATATACCATGAGGCACTCCATAACACACTGTCCACCTTTCTCCCAAGGTTTCTGAACGTATTTAATGTTATGAGCACGAAAAAGCCACACAAAATTACTTTATGAAACATTCAACAACCTGTGGTACTCTTATTGTGCTATTTGAAATTGCTCAGTTGGACCCATTTTGATTCAGTAATTACCAGCAGTTAGTAATTATTCAAGTCTTAGTTTCAATATAACCAAGGCTCAAGCAGTAAACTTTCTGCAAAATTAATTTAAGATAAAATGTAAAGAACTATTAATATAGTCTAATACTTTAAATACCATTTTATTTATAATTCTCAAACTACTAATCTTGCTGAATTTTAAATTAACTGCAAATTGTGCATAACAGAAAATATACAGAAACAAAGCTACTGACCACTTCAAAGTTAATTATGAGAATTACTACTGTAGCCATCTGTTAACACTTAAATATTATTATATAAATAGTAATATATATTCAATAAGAAGCTTTTATAGTAGTAAATACTTGTTGAGTATATAAATATTCTATAATATATATAAGTATGTTTATTTATCAATATACTGATATTAATATATAAAAAGTATATATAATTTCTTTATTGTTCAAGTACAATTGTCTCCATTTTCACCCCACCATGTCCCCCTACCCTGCCCATTCCCGCCTCCCACCCTCAAACCCACCCCTCCTTTGGCTCTGTCCATGTGCCCTTCATACAAGTGCCTTGATGGCCCCCTCCCCATTATCCTCTACTATCCCTCTTCCTCCTCCTCTCTGGTTACTGTCAGATTATTCTTTATTTCAATGTCTCTGGTTGTATTTTGCTTGCTTGTTTGTTTTGTTGATTAGGTTCCACTTATAGGTGAGATAATATGGTAGTTCTCTTTCACCACTTGGCTTGTTTCACTTAGCATAATGCTCTCCAGATCCATCCACGCTGTCTCGAAGGGTAGGAGCTCCTTCTTTCTTTCTGCTGTGTAGTGTTCCATTGTGTAAATGTACCATCATTTTTTGATCCACTCATTCACTGATGGGCACTTACGCTGCTTCCAGTGCTTGGCTATTGTGAATTGTGCTGCTATGAACACTGGGGTGCACAGGTTCTTTGGAATTGGTCTTTCAGGGTCTTTAGGGTATAACCCCGATGGTGGTATTGTTGGGTAAAAAAGCATTTCCATTTTCACTTTTCTGAGGAAATTCCATATTGTTCTCCACAGTGGCTGCATCAGTCTTCATTCCCACTGGCACTGCTCTAGCTTCCCTTTTCTCCACAACCTCCCCAACACTTGTTGTTTGATCTGTTTATGATGGCCATTCCGACTGGTGTGAAGTGGTATTTCATTGTGGTCTTAATTTGCATCTCTCTGATGGCCAGTGATGTTGACCATCTTTTCATATGTCTCTGGGCCCTCTGTATGTTCTTCTTGGAGAAGTGTCTATTCAAGTCCTTTGCTCATTTTTTAATTGGGTTTGTCTTCCTGGAGTGGAGTCATGTGAGTTCTTTATATATTTTAGAGATCAAACCCTTGTCCAAGATATCATCTGCAAATATATTTTCCCATATGGTTGGTTCCCTCCTCATTTTAATGCTGTTTTCTTTAGACATGCAGAAGCTTTTTATTTTCATGAGATCCTATTTGTTTATTATTTCCTTTATTTCTCTTGCTCTAGGGGACGTATTGGTGAAAATATTGCTGGGTGGAATATCTGAGATTTTCCTATGTTCTCCTCTAGGACTTTTATAGTGCCATGAATTGTCCTTTATCCACCTTGAATTTATTTTTGTGTATGGTGTAAGTTGGTGGTCAAGCTTCATTTTTTTTTCATGTAGCTGTCCAGATGTCCCAAAGCCATTTCTTGAAGAAGCTATTTTTACTCCATTTTATGCCTCTGCTCCCTTGCTGAATATTAACTGACCATAAAGACTTGGGTTTATTTCTGGGGTCTCTATTCTTTTTTTCTCCCTGGGGTCTCTATTCTGTTCTATTGGTCTATGCGTCTGTTCTTAAGCTAGTACCATACTGTTCTGATTACAGTGGCCTTGTAATATAGTTTGATTAGGTACTGTGATGCCTCCTACTGTGTTCTTCTTTCACAAAATTGCTGTGGCTATTTGGGATGGTTTACAGTTTCATATAGATTTTTGAAATGTTTGTTCTATATCTGTGAAATATGTCATTGGTATTTTAATAGGGATTGCATTGAATCTATAAATTGCTTTGGGTAATATGAACATTTTGATAATGTTGATTCTTCCAATCCATGAAACGGTATATGGTTCCATTTATTTGTGTCTTCCTTAATTTCTTTCTCAGTGTTATGTAGTTTTCTGAGTACAGGTCTTTCACCTCCTTGGTAAGGTTCATTCCTAGGTACTTTATTTTTCTTGTTTCTATAGCAAATGGGATTTTTTTCTTGATTCCTGATTCTGATCTTTCATTGTTGGTATATAAAAATGCATTTGATTTCTGAATATTGAGTTTGAACCCTGCTGTCTTGCAAATTCAGTCAAACAGTTTTTGGGTGGAGTCTACAGGATTTTCTATGTACACCATCATATCATCTGTAAACAGTGACAGTTTTCTTCCTTTCCAATTTGGAGGCCTTTTATTTCTTTTTCTTGTCTGAATGCTGTGGCTAGGACTTTCAATACTATATTGAATAGAAGTGGTGAAAGCAGACATTCTTGTCTTTTTCCTGATCTTAGTGAGAAAGCTTTTAGTTTTTGCCCATTGAGTATGGTGCTGGCTGTAGGTATCTCACACATGGCCTTTATCATGTTGAGGTATGCTCCTTCTATTCCACTTTGCCGAATGTTTTTATCATAAATGGGTGCTGCACCTTATTATCAAATGCTTTCTCTGCATTTATTGATATGATCATGTGATTTTTGTCTTTCCTTTTGTTTATGTGATATATTACATTTATTGATTTGTGAATGCTGTACAATCCTTGCATCTCTGGGGTGAATCCCATTTGATCATGGTGTATGGTCTTTTTAATGCAGTTTGCCAATGTTTTGTTGAGGATTTTGGCATCTATGCTCATCAGTGATATTGGTAAATATCACTGGATATATATGTATCAAGGATAATGGTTAGCTCTTCCTTAAATGTTTTGTAAAATTCTCCTGTGAAACCATCTGGTCTAAGGCTTTTGTGTGCTGGGAGTTTTTTGATTACTGCTTCGATTTTATCAGCTATTATTGGTCTTTTCAGACTTTCTGCTTCTTCTTCATTCAGTTTTGGGACATTTTTTCTAGAAATTTGTACGTTTCACCCTGGTTTTCAAATCTCTTGGCATATAGTTGTTCATAGTAATTTCTTACAATCCTTTGTATCTCTGTGTTACTGGTTGTAATGTCTCCTCTTTAATTTCTGACTTTGTTTATTTGGGTCCTCTTTTTTCCTTGGTAAATCTGCTTAAAGGCTCGTCAATTTTATTTATCTTTTCAAAGAATCAGCTCCTGAACTCACTAATCCTTTGGATTGTTGTTTTAGTCTCTATGTCATTTAATTCTGCTCTGATCTTGGTTACTTCTTTCCTTCTACTCACTCTGGGCTTTGTTCTTGTTTCTCCAGTTCTTGTGGTTGTAGGGTTAGGTTGTTTATTTGAAATGTTTCTATCTTTTTTAGGCAGGCCTGTATTCCTATGAACTTCCCTCTCAGGACTGCCTTTGCTGTGTCCCATAAGTTTTGGACTGTTGTGTGTTCATTTTCATTAGTTTCCAGAGACTTCTTGATTTCTTCCTTGATCCCACTATTGACTTATTCATTGTTTAATAGCAAGCTATTCAATCTCCATGAGTTTGAATGTTTTTGAGTTTTTTCCTTGAGGTTGATTTCTAGCTTCAGTCCCTTGTGGTCAGAGAAAATGCTTGACATGACTTCAGTTTTCTTGAATTTGTTGAGGTTTGTTTTGTGTACTATAATAGGGTCTATCTTTGAAAACATTCCATGTGCGTTTGAAAAGAAAATCCCTTAGTATAAGTCTGTTGTAGTCTATATCTTTCTTGAAGTCCTCCATGATTTTCCATATATACTTGGATGCTCCTATGCTGGATGCATATATGTTTACAATGTTTATGTCTTCTTGATGGATCCTTTCCTTGAGTATTACAAAGTGCCCTCTGGGTTTCTCTTTACGGCCCTTGTTTTGAAGTCTGTTTTGTCTGATATGAGTATTGCTACCCCAGCTTTTTTTTCCTGTCCATTTGCTTGGAATATCTTTTTCCAACACTTCCCTTTCGGTCTGTGTAGGTCTTTTGTTCTGAGGTTGGTCTCTCGTAGGCAGCATGTGTGTGGGTCATGTTTTCTTATTTATTCAGCTATTCTATGTCTTTTGATTGGAGCATTTAATCCATTAACATCTAAGGTTATTACTGATAGGTATTTATTCATTTTTCCCCCTTTTTTACCTGCATTCCTCTCTCTCTCACTCTTTTCCTTCCTCTTCTTATAGTAGTCCCTTTAACACATCTTAGAGAGCTGGTTTGGTGGAGGTATATTTTTTCAGCCACCTTTTGTCCAGGAAGCTCCTTATTTCGCCTTCCATTTCAATTGGGAGTCTCGCTGAGTAGAACAGTCTCGGTTGTAGGCCTTTGTTTTTCATTACTTGGAATATTTGTTGCCATTCTCCCCTGGACTGAAATGCTGCTGTTGAGAAATCAGCTGCTAGCCTTATGGGAGCTCCTTTGTATGTTACTTCTGGTTTCCCCCTTACTGCCTTTAAGATTCTCTTTGTTTTTAAAACTTGGCATTTTAATTATTGTATGCCTTGGAGTAGGCCTCTTTGGGTTCGTCTTCACTGGGACCCTTTGTGCTTCCTGAACTGCATGTTTTTTTTCCCCTCTCTAGGTTTGGAAAGTTTTCTGTCACCATTTTTTCAAACCGGGTTTCTATCCCTTGTTTCTTTGCTTCTCCTTCCAGTATTCCTATGATTCAAATGTTGTTGCGTTTCATGTTATCTTGGAGTTCCCTTAAGCTATGTTCATATTTTTTCAGTCTATTTTCATACAGATGCTCTAGCTGGGTGTTTCTTTCCACCTTGTCTTCCAGCTCACTAATTCGGTCCTCTGCTACATCCAGCCTGCTTGTAACTCCTTTTACTGTGTTTTTTATTTCAGAAGTTATATTTTTCATTTCTTCCTGGTTTTCGTTTATAGTTTCTATTTTCTTTTTCATACTGCTATAGTTCTCACTCAGTGCCTTGGGCATCCTTATAACCATTATTTTGAATTCTATATCTGATAGTTTGCTTACCTGCTTTTCATTTAGCTCTTTTAATGGGGAGTCTTCCCTTCCTTTTGATTGCAGGGGTTTTGCTGTCTTCCCATTTTAGGTAACTCTTTTTGTTTCTGCACTTTCTGATGTTCTGCTTTGCTAGCTGTCTTTGTAGGGTGAACTTCTATGGTAGGAATTCTATGGAATTCAGTGGTGTAGTCTTTTTGATCTCCTTGTCTGGATGCTCTACGGTTGCACTTTCTTCTGTTTGTGAAAAAGTATATACAATTTCTTTTTTCTTTTTTTTTTTCTAAAGATTTTATTTATTTATTTTTTAGAGAGGGAAGGGAGGGAGGGAGGGAGAGGGAGAGAGAGAGAGAGAGAAACATCAATGTGCGGTTGCTGGGGGTCATGGCCTGCAACCCAGGCATGTACCCCGGCTGGGAATCAAACCTGCGACACTTTGGTTCGCAGCCCGCACTCAATCCACTGAGCTACGCCAGCCAGGGCAGTATATACAATTTCTTAACCTAAGATTAGGATCCTCAAAATGTCATAATTCTTGGTAGAGGCTGGGGGATACAGACAATGACTAAATCCTAAACTACCTTTTCTGGTGGAACTCAAACTTCCCTAAGTCCTACAGAAGGTAACGTTCACCTATGTAAGCAAGAGCACCATAAATGGAAAGGGAAGACTCAGCAGTGAGAATGGTCCACAGAGCCCCGACCTGCGCAGTGCGCAGGCCACCCTACCCAACTGCCAAGGACAATTTTCTATCTTAGGGGCCCCAGACACAGCTCTGTTTTTCTAAGTCAATTTTGTCTGTTTTTGCCATCAAATAGAGCAAAGAGTCTGTTTAGATCATCAAGGCTGAAAAGGCATAATGATATTTCAATGATTTCTTCTGGGGTCAACGGCTTTTAAGAATATTCTCTGTAGCAGGAGGATTTTCAACCTACTGTTTTTGCTACTCTGAGGTAACTTCATGAATTTTCAAAGTGTTCCGAGTTACTTATTTTTTAATGTAATATAGGCTATTTTCTCAAGAATCCTTCCTGATGCTACTCTAATCTCAGTTAAGTTCATTTTAATATTGTGTTTATCTTTTAATTAATCTTCTTAAAGTACTGGATTGTACTTGTAAATTTTTCTTAAAAGGTTTTCCCCAACATTTCTATCAACTTTTTGGTTCTTCAGTAATACTAAAACAACTTTTTTAAAAAAATATATTTTTAAAGATTTTATTTATTTATTTTTAGAGAGGGAAGGGAGGGAGATAGAGAGAGAGAAACATCAATGTGCGGTTGCTGGGGGTCATGGCCTGCAACCCAGGCATGTGCCCTGACTGGGAATCCAACCTGTGATGCTTTGGTTCGCAGCCCGTGCTCAATCCACTGAGCTACACCTGCCAGGGCTAAAACAACTTTTTAATGAGACCAGAAACGAAGTGTCATGGCCTTTGACCATCCCAAGTATGTACTAGTGATGCTATACAGCTTAATGGATCTTACTGATTTCAATCTGAGAACTAAGTTCTCTGTGATTTTTTAAAAATTTCGATCTTTGTACATCATTTGTACAAAGAAGTTCAACACCACTTTTATGATGCAATCTCTTAAACAGAAAATGAAATGTAAGCAAATGCGTATTTCAAACAGTATCATAGGAAAATTATTTTCTAATACACTTTAACATACTTGGCCCCAGGTTCAAGAAGATGTACCTCTAGGCAAGCTCGTCACTTCGACGTATCCGTGAGAGGTCAGGTCTTGAGAAAGAGTGCCAAGGTGATACTCGTCCGCAGTTGCAAACGCTGTGCAGTGCATCAGGTCCTGTTTCAGAGAGATTAGTATGACACAGGTTAGCAAGTGGCTGAAGTGTCTGCAACGGTTGCTGTCACCTTACAGGGCTCCGTTTGGCAAAGCTAGTATTTTTTCACACATTTCAAAGGCTCATAGAAGAGGTATATTAAGGATGAGGAGAAAGTACCATCAGGGAGATAGACTGCAGCTGAACCTATGAAAGAATTTGCTCCTGCTGGCCAAAAAGACCGAACAGGCTATGCTGAAAGGAAAGCCGCTCCCCACCTGCTAGTGTCCCAAGCACAGACCGAGCAAAAGATACAGCGGATGAAAGCAGCATACAGGTGCCTGGATGAAATGTTGTTTAAAAAGTCTCTCCACCTCTGATTTTCAAAGCAACATTATTATTTAAGGTCACCTAATAGCTTGTCATTGCTCTTGTATTATAAAAGCAGAGATTACTCTAAATCTACAAAGGAATTACCAAACTTTTACTGGCTGATAATTAAACAAAAAGCCTGTCGATCTGAGACTGCATCCAAGTTTGGTTAGCGCTTCGGTTCCTGCACCGAGTCTCGTCTGTGTGCATGTGTGAACACTCACGGTTTAGGAATACGTCCCAGTGCGGTGTTTGTGTCAAACTGTAACTCATAACCCATCACTGAGTCCTGCATCAGTTTAGTGGCCTAAACGAGCTTAAAAAAATACTAGAGCACATCATTCATAGTAATGATAAATTTTATGACTTTTTTCTGTCACTTAGATATGTCTAACTATGTATATATGGTCACCAGGGGCATGTAACATAAAATATGTTTCTCACTTTAGATGTGGTCAATAAAATTCAAAAGCTATTGGCACAGGCGCTAAAAATAAAAGTTCATGCACGGACTGGTTTAAGCACATCAGGATAACAATAATGCCCACTTCACAGGGTTGTTGTAAGTTTAAATGAGCTGATTGATGACAATGGCTTTGAGCTGTGACTGGCACGGTGTTTAACATTTCTTAGATTATAGTTATTAAACCATCAATGTTTACGGGGGGTTAAAAAGTCTGTTAAGTAACGTACACCTGAATATTCACAAGTTCATAACTTTGTGTTTCATATCTGCTGATCAGAGTGTTACTGGTTCTATTCTTTTGATATGTATGGGGCTTTGGCCCATCACTGGTCAAAAGAGGTTTGTGAGTCACTAAATCAAAATTTACTCCTGGGATTTACTCATCTCCGCTCCTGAATCCCTTCCCTGTCTGGTCCATTCCTGGTATGAAATTCAAGGAGAGTAGTATAGTAAGTCCTTGTTTCCTCCCACTTTTGAAACTTAAGTCTGGGCCCTTTCTCAAGAAATGGCCTAACCCTCCTTTGCCTTTTCTTCAATCTGTTACACAGTTCAAATGTGTGGTTCCAAAAGTAGCACAGGGATTCACAGAGGACCGGAGGATACTCACAAACTGAAAAATCTAAAAGTGATCAAATATCTACTCATAAGCAGAATGATTTTAATTCAGTTAAACAATTAAAAGCCACACAAAGCTGAAGCTGCTGTTCACGGTGAGCATGAATCAACGTATTGCCCTCTTTTTCTAGCGAAGCCGATACCCACGGTCACACAGGAGGGTAAAAAAACGATCATATGGACCCACACAGCCAAAGCATACTTACTGGAGCCTCGGAGTCCGTTAGTTATGCACTTAAGGTTTAGAACTGCTGGTACTATTTGTTCTTCTAAGGGTCCACAAAGTTAAAAAGAGCTGACAGGAAACGAGATTAAGCTGCTGACAGAAAGGAATCCTCTTAAGAGGCGTCAGACCAGGTAAGGACGGCCACAGTAGGCTGGCCCTCCTCTTGGAGGCTAGGCAAATTTCCTGAGGCTTGCTAAGCAAAAGCACAGTGCACGAGGCTGGACGTCAGAACGACCTCAGTGACTGACGAAGCCGACAGGCCTCGTTTGTTCGGGCTGCAGTGGGAAGGGCAGGAGACAGGGGAGGCAGCGGGCAAGGAAGGAGGTCAGGAGCCATCACTGGGGGGTCTTTTCCCAACGACTGAAATGGCAGAGCCCGACTGTCTCTAGAATCGGGACTGTAAGCTTGCTGCCAGAGGGCTACCCACCTCGAGGTGATGCACATAGTGCTTTTAAGATCTGAATTAACTATCAACGATAAAGAGCAATTTCACACAAAACCCAGGTTTCCGCCATCTTTCGATCAAGGGGAAAACAGACTAGGTTGAGGAAGGGGCCTGGGTTGTCCAGCTCACACAGTTCTGCCCACTCCCTACTGTCTCACCGGCTTCACCCCCCAACCCCTGACACTGACCAGGCCCATCTGTGCTGAAAATGTATACTATTGTGCACTCTCGAAAATGGGGCAAGGCAAAGCATTTAATCGTCATTTCCATGAGAAAATGTATTCTGAGCTCCAAATAGTCAGATTATAAATACATTTTAAAACACAATCTGTTTTTCGCCTAGCCATTCCAAAGATCTTCTTTGCAGATTTTCTCAAGATTGTCACATTTTCTTCTCTCACCATGTCCTATTTAGTCTGGCTCAAAGTTCTGGCCAATGTCACATGGCGTGTGTGGCCTACCACACTACTTTCCGCATCCTTAGACTTGAACCTGAGTCTCTGTGTAAGTTATGGCTTCTTCGATTAACAAAGGACTCACAGAGCTTTTCAGTTAGACTTGGAAGACATATCTATTTTACAGTTTTACTTCTTTTGCTTTTAAATTTCAAGACTGTATTTAAATCCATTTAGTAAAGGAAAAGAGGACAATGGAGGGTCTTGTTTTTGCATTTCTCCCCTATTAGTTAAAGGTGTTGCAACTTTGTGAGATTTTCATTTTCACACGTCTTTCTTAATTTTTTATAGTGAATTACTACCTATTGAGCACTTTATACATATAAAGTGCTCTGTGTGTTTTTATATCGCACAAATTTAAAGTTTTAAAATGGGGTCAATAATTCATTCTTAAATAAATGTGCCAAAGCAGCCAAAAATAGTCATTGGACTTTAGAACTAAATTTAGGCCTTTCTATTTTAAAATGTTAAAACAAAACAACCCAAAGCCAAGAAAACCACAGCGTTTTCAGTATGTGTTTTTTTTTCCCCCGCCCTGGTCAGCGAAAGCATGTTCCAGCAGATGGGGCTAGAAATCTATATATGATTCTTGTTTTACAGCATCACACGTGCTGAAGGAACCCTTCTCATAAAGAGGAAAGTTTATTTTTTTCACATTCTTTGACTAAAGAACATTAGTGCATCACAGCAATGTTGCTGGTGTGTTACAAAGGGAGAAGTGCATGCTTTTCCTGTTATGTACACATTGTAGGTGAATGTCATTAACATAGATACATTTTATGTTACTGGTACAATGCTTTAGTTTTAAGCTTTCTGACCGCAACTTATGGTGAGAAATCACTTCACATACACAGTGCACATATGCATATATGCAAACACACCAAGAACTGACAAAAAGCTTCCCCAATGTTTTTTGCCTTTACCGTTTGTAAGGCATTCCTGTACTTCCTTTTCTATTGCATTAATAAAAAATCAACAACCCACTAGTTAAATTTACAACACACTGGGGGGTTCATGGGGAAGCCCACCTTGGGGGTTCCAGCAGTCCCCGCTCATGCGGGGCTTGGGCAGCTCGGAGCAGTGCTCTGCACGCTCCAGCATTCTACTTCCGAGGGACAGGACGTGCCCGGCCGCATGGGCGTTGCTGGGATGAGTTATGAGCCAGTGCAACGGGGTTTGAATCTCTCAGTGGGTTGTGATCTCTGCCAACAGGACCAGGTAGAGCTGAATCTGACCGAGAGGGTGCCGAACCTCACCTCGTCCCTTCTGAGTGCGTGCTGTGTGGCAGAGGAAAGGGGGCCAGCTCAGGAGCACTTGTGGGGAATGAGACAAGTCATGCCCCCTTTCTGGTACAAAGGACGGTCCCTCCCTGTCTCAATCCAGGGGGGCAGAAAGGGCTACGGTGTCACAAAGGATTCGCCAGCCCCGTGCCACCCGCACAGAGACAGAGTGGCCCTCCATTGGGGGTAGTCTTCAGCCCCAGGGAGAGAGTCACACCTAGTCACATTTCAAGACCGTGTTCACCTATGCAAAGAAAGACCACCAGAAAGTAATGTTCCAACATTGTATTATTTCAGATCACTTCAGAAAGGCTTTCGGAAATGTAAGTTTGTCTACTACTTTCCTGGGCTTTTAGAGAGACATCATATTTTTTTCTGTTTTTTGCAAAACTCCAACTGAAGTGACATCTATTATGTTACATAATCTCTCCTATATAAAGGACCCAGGATATAAATGACTCCTTAAATTTTGTGATGGAGGAAGTTAGTTCTTGTAAGACATTTTTATGTTTTCCTTCTCCCCCTGCCCCACCAGGCAACAAGAAATACATAACCCAGGAGGACTTCCTCCTTTCTTTAATCATTGGGCTTCTCAGAACTCCACATTCAACTGAATGAGTTATTCATACCAGGTGCTCGATAACACATATTTCTCTGTTCATGTCAACAGTTTGCTCTATTGTAAATGTAATGCTTTTATGATCTCATTTGAAACTGTATTAAATTTTGAAAATCTACTTCAAATCCTTTCCTGGAAGCATTAAAAAAAAAACTTAAAAGAAAAATAAAAATGGAATTGAGGAAGATTGCTTCCAAGTGTAAGAAGAGCCCAGGGAAATAATGCCTTTTTGATAGTTTACAATTGACAACCACAAAAAAGGGTGACATCTTTGTCCTCATCAGCATCTTTGTAAGAAACTTGGTTATGTGCTGTGCTGCTAGATATAACAAAAGAGAGCAGGGAATTGATCTTCCTCTTTCTCTGTGTGCTATGAATTCAGGTTTTTACATGTAATTTTGTCTCAGTTACTTAGATAATGAATTTCCCAGACTATCGCAAATCTAAACAATACAGCAAAAAAATCAGGAGCTAGGAGGAAGAAATGGTGAGGCCATGCACACACACCTCCCCTCCCCTTTATATCCTGGGTTCAGAGAAACCATGCACGAATTTAAACAAACCTAGAATCCAAAATAAAAAAACCATTCATCGGTGCCTAACTTCACAGCCTGAAGATAACTAATAATGGTATGCACATCTTTTTCAAAGGTGGTAAAAAAATACAACAAAATTAAACATGCTTAGGGTCTACTCAGAATTGAGATTTTCAGACAGACGCACACATGCTACCTGTTTTCTGACAGATTGAGCAGGCCTGATCAAGTTTTAAATATTCTACCTTCCTATTTTTAAGTTTTTAAAAAGATTTTATTTATTTATCTTTAGAGGGGAAGGGGGGAAGGAAAACATCACTGTGTGGTTGCCTCTCAGGCACTCCCTTCTGGGGACCTGGTCCACAACCCAGGCAAGTGCCCTGATTGTGAATCAGACCAGCGACCCTGTGCTTCGCAGGCTGGCACTCAATCCGCTGGGCCACACCAGCCAGGGCTCTACATTCCTATTTTACATGTTGAGGTGCACGGACATAAAAATCCCTTTGCTTCTTTTCCATCCTTTCCAACTTAATAAACACTAAGTATAAGGCACAGTTCTAGGTATAATGCAAGATAAGAAAGTTAACAAAGGGCTTGACCCTGACCCCAAATATTTATCATTTAGAGGGGAGATATGATTATAGTTGACAAATTCCCATATACTTTGTAAAAGTGAATGAAAATAACCTCCTTCAACTTTCAAAGAATAAGAAAGCAAAAACTTTCCCCTGCTGCCCTGGCTGGTGTGGCTCAGTGGATTGAGCATGGGCCTGAGAACCAATGGGTTGCTGGTTTGATTCCCAGTCAGGGCACATGCCTGGGTTGCGGGCCAGGTCCCCAGTTAGGGGCATGCAAGAGGCAACCACACACTGACGTTTCTCTCCCTCTTTCTCTCTCCCTTCCCCTCTCTCTAAAAATACATAAATAAAATCTTAAAAAAAAAAAACCACACAAAAAACCGTCCCCTCTTTAAATTCGGCCTTGACACGCCATTTCATCTCTCTTCCCACCCATGCTGTCACCATGGACTAATGAATGCTTACCTGTCTGCATAGCTATGAAAAATTTATTATCAATTCAATAAAGAATTCCTACAGCTTGATCTTTTTTCGAGTGGGTGCATTTTTTAGAGTACCAGTCCTAGACTGGATTTAATACTAGCCTTCCTTTTCAAAGTTTCCTTAGGCCAATAACGAACACTTCTATAAACTGTATTTTCACATTTAACTGCCTATATTTTATCTTTGTAAGTATCGCGAATTCTTAAAATCAAGATTTTGATTCCCTTTGGACAGACCAAGTTTTACTATGTGGCCTCGAGATGTGGAAGAAAGCGCTGCGGAGCTGGTCGCCAGTTCCCTCACACTAGTGGTGGGGCTGCGTGCGACCTGTTGCTTAGGAGTGGATGGTTAGTACGGAACAGAAGGGCCCCCACCGCACGTTTTTACCTCGTTCAGGGACAGAACTGGAAGGTTGGTCCTGGACGGCTGCCTGGTCCTCGATGCTTTCAGTGGTCTCTTGATTTGCGGAAAGTCTTGTTTAGAAACAATTGTTTCCGTTGATGCAGATGAGTAGTGCCTCTCTAGTATTCTTCTGAACCACTCGCGACCTAACAGATCTGGTCTGTGAGTCACTTTCCAGTGAGCACCCGACTTCCTGGTCGGAAGGTGCGCTCGCCCCTCTTGGCAACGTGCAGTGTTTAATGCAGAGAACACGTTTGTGTCTGACATGTTCCGGTTCCTTTCCAGAATCTGGGACTCAGTCAGACCACCGGTGGCTGTATCGGGAAAGAACAGATCCAAGTTTCGACTTCTTGTCAGGGTGCCACGTGCTGCACTCTCAGATCCCTTAAGCGGTTTTCCTGTGCGATGGATGGCTCTTTGGCACTGGCGGGCTTTTGATAAGACACAGCGAGACCCGGCCAGGGCCCCGAGAAGTCTGGCTGACATGACCGCATCCCAAGCTAAAGAACAAGAATTCAAAGGTCAAGTTTAAAAAGAGTTTCAAAAAAATACATAATAAAGGGGGCTGGAAGGGGAACACCTATAACAGTGTCAGCAATACAAATAAACACATATTTTCCTAGGTAAGAGGCATATTTCTGTAAAAAAATATCTGCAAAACAGGTACATCCTAACCTAAGTCTAGCAAAAAACAAAACGCAAAACTCAAAAACCCCACCAAGGTTAAAATATGAATCCGAGTATTTCTGCCACTTTTCCTTTGACCTTCTTTTGGGACGATGACAAGGTTACAAAGCTACTGACGGGACAAGGACCTGGATAGAGGAAACACAGAGTGATGAGAACTCATTTACTTCGTCAGCATATCTATTTTTAAAAATCTCTACTTAGAAGTTCCTTTATGCAGAACGTACGCCGCCTTCACAGTGAGACAGCAACGCACCAGGGCCAGGCGTGCTTCCAGGCAAGGACCGGGGTCCTGCCATCGTGGTGTCCGTGGTCTCTGGGAGGAGACAGGAGCTTTCAACTGCTGATTGTAACTTAGGGGGGAAGGCCCTAGGCCCTGCCAAAGGCCTACATATGAGGTACTGGGGAAACACCAAAGACGCCTGCCCAATTCTACAAGAGCCAGGTAAGGCTCCTGGGAAGATTTAAGCTGCGGCTTGAAGGGCAAGGTGCTTTCCAGGCTGGGGGTGGGCATGGCAGTTGGGGTACCAGACATCAGACAGACAGGCAGACAGACACACATGCACTCCAGAAAAAGGAAACAGACTGTATATGTAAGTGATTTTCTCCCTTATTCACAGTATAAAATAATTTGCTCTTTAAGTCTGTGGTAGGCAATTCATAATTCTTCAAAAAAATAACACATTAGGTACGGGGGATTCAGGTATGAATCAATAATGTCCGAATTCGCAGTCTAGCAGGGGAAACAGACAGACTAATGTGATAAGCCCTAAAACGGAGGAATATAGGAGGAATATATAACACAGATTATTGTGCGGCCCAGGGAAGGGAGTGTCTGGGGTAAGAGGTGGGCAGGACAAATTCAGAGGTGACATTTGAACTGGGTCTCAATAGGGCAGAGGGCAAAGCAAACACCCAGGCACGCAGTTCCGTTTACCTGACCATCAAGTGCCCATTTCAGGGGAGGCCTGAGAGATCAGGACTGAAGAGGAGCCAGTGGCCAGATCACAAGGGATCCTAAAGAGTTTCTGCAGGTTGGGGACGCCAGAGCACTCAAATGTGAGACTCCCATGGTCAAAGGTACGTCTGAGAAACGTATCTTTGGTAATGACGTAGAAGAGGGTTAGGGAGAGGCTGAAGACATCACTCGCTGAGAACTTCCTACCCACCAAGTGCCCTGGTGCACCTCACCATCACCCTAGAAGGCACTTCACAGGTCAGGGCACTGGGGCTTAGAGAGACTGCTGGTCACAGTCAGCAAGTGGCCGAGGTGTGATTAAAACACCGGCTTTTCCAAATCCAAACACAACACGTGTCACCACGGCCCTGTACCACCTTCCGTTAGAAGGAAGAGGACAAGGACGAGTCACAGTGATGCTTAGGGGGCAGAACCTGTTGCTTTCAAAATACGCCGACAAGCTGGAATTCTGTATCTTAGTCTAGTCCAGTGAGATATTATAGTTCACCTTCAATTAGTACTATTCCCTGCCCGGTGCACCAGTGGATTTTGAAGAATATACTTATAAAAAAATTGTATACACAGACCTGGATTCTTCCATTCTCTTCTAGGAAATTCTTACCTCCAAACTCTAAAGTCTACCTTCATGTGGAGGTTACGTGAAGCACCAAGACAAAGAAAGTAAAAGCTCCAGGACAAGTAAGAAGTGTGTTTTCTCTGTCTCTCTGCTGAGAAAAACAGAGGTGTCGCATTTAAGGCACCCAACACACAAAAAGGCTCAGGCTTTGTTAAAAACTAGAACACATCTCAGGCTCATACACTCTGAGCTGTACAGTAGCCACTAGGTGTACGTGGCGATTGAGCACTTGAAATGTGGCTCAGTAAAATCAGAAAAAATTTCTCCTGTACGTTGTATTTTATACGGGGTGGGGCAAAAGTAGGTTTACAGTTGTGAGTACGTAAAAGAGACTATTCTTGTATTATTTATTAATTATTGTGTTATTTTTCATATGAACTGTAAACCTACTTTTGCCCCACCCTGTACTTAATACAAAAAGTAAACTATCTCAATAATTTTTGTGTTATTTGTTGAAATAATGTTTTTAGATATATTGGGATGCATGAAATGAATTAAAATTAATTTCATCCATTGATTTTTACTTTCAAAGCTTCTAGAACACTTGTTCCATATGAGGCTTGCACTGCACTTCTATTGGACAGGCTGCTCTACACCTGGTCAATACCAATAACCGCAACCTCACACTCAACTGCAAGCATGCTACCCTCCAAACACCACTTCCATTCTTTCACGTTCACTGCCTCCATCACCCAGTTCCAGCAATCCTTCAACCCAAACAGGACCTGCAATTCGATGATACAACCACTTTCTCACCATCCCTCACCCTCCACTTCTTCCACACCCAGTTTATATTTCATGGTCTATCACTATAATCTCTCCCCCACTCACACCTTAAATCCCTTGCACTCCTCTCTCTGCCACTAACCCACGTGACATAACCTCAGTCTGAACTAAGTATCATTCACCTAATTTGTGCCTGGACTCCTTCAGCTGAGCACGGCTGGAGACAACCAGTCAATCAACGGACCAACCGTGCACGCCATCTGGGCTTACTTTGAAATCATGAGCACTCACTTCAGGTGGGCCTTCCTACTGCTCAACATCTTAACCACGGGTCCCTTCCACATCTACTCTCCGCTCTCTCCTCACACCTTCGAGGCCTCCTCTTCCCTTTTCACTCTCAGTAATGACCTTGCTTCCTTTCTGGTCGACAAAACAGAGAACTTCTACAAGCTCTCTGCCATCAGCCACCTGCCCACCTATTGCTTCTGTGCCCACAGACTTTGTCATCCCTTCTGCTGTTCCATCTAGAGCCAGGTCCTCATGCTGCACACTGAATCTCATCCTTCCCTGCCTACAGAAGGAATGGGTAAGCTCTTCCTCCCTCTTCTCCCATGCCATTTATTTTCTCGTCTCTACTGGCACATTCCTATTAGCATGCAGCTAAGCTTTAGTTTCTTCCGTCTTATAAAAACCACGGTCCCCTGACTCCATCTTCCCTTCCATATACTACACCTTTTCTCTGCGCTCCCTTCCTTTTAGAGTTTTATTTGCTGTCCCCAACTTCTCAACTCTTGATTTTTCTCAAACCCACTCCAATCAGGCTTTTATTCCTGCCACTTCACCAAAACCCACTTGTCAAGGCCACCAATAGCCTCCATATCCCTAAGTCCAATGCTCACTTCTCTGTCTCTGTTTTACCTGACTTATCAGCAACATCTGATACAGTTGATCCCTCCACCCACCTGAAGAACCTTCTTCTCTCGGCTTCTAGGAGACCACACTGACAACTCACCCACCACAATGGCTGCACCTTTGGTCTCTTGCTGGTTTCTCAACCCCTCAAAAATGGAATGAGCCAAGGCTAGTTATTTGGGCCACTTCTTTATTCTTAGATCTTGATGATCTCACCTGATCTCATGGTCTTCTATACCATCCTACACATGAATGGATACCAAATATTCATCTTCACATAAAAAATGTAACATGCTCAAAAGTCAGCTTCTGAAATCTTCCTACAAATCCTATTCTTCCCAAAGTCTCCGCCATTCATGAAATAGCAATCACATCCTTATCTTCGCTAAAGCCAAAAACCTGGAGTCCACCTTGACTCTTCTGTTCATTCTCCGCACCCAATCTATCAGCAAACTCCACTGGCTTTTTTCCAACTAGTTCTCACCATCAACACTGCTCCCACCCTGGTCCAAGTTGCTGTCTTTCCCAAAGATTATTGTAACAGCCCCCTATCTTATTTTCCCGCTTCTGGTCATGGCCTCTTACAGATTTCTTCTCAACACAGCAACCAGAAGTGATCCTTTGAAAATGTAAGTCAGGTCACATCTTTCTTTTGTATGAAATTTGACAATGGTCTCATGTTTCAGTTGAAATAAAAGCCAAAGATCTTAAAATAGCTTGTGTGGCCCTGCATTCTCTGGTTCTTTATCACACTCTAACTAATCTTCTACAACTCTTTCCCTTGCTCATTTTGCTGCAGTTACTTTGGCCTCTGGATCTTTGCATTTATTGTTTCTTACTCTCTTTTCCCAGGTATCTGTAAGCCTCGGCTCAAACCTCCTACCCAGGAAGTCTTCCCCAACCACTGCATTTAAAGCGCAATCAGCACCACTCTCTATCTTCCACCCCTTTATATTTCTCCATTGCATTTAACATCACTTGCATACCTAGTATTTTTAATTTGTTAATTCGTGCAACAAATGTGAACTGAGTTCCTATCATGTGGTAGACACTGTCCTACTTGTTGGAAATACAGGAAAATAGACAGAAATCCCTACCTTTTGAACCTTACATCACACTGGGGTGACAGACAATAAACACGGTAAATTGGAACAATACATATTAAATAGTGACGATGCTAGGAGGAAAAATAGAAGAGGAAGGGCTAGAGTAGTCTCTCTCCCTTTTGAGTTTCTGAGGATTGAGCTTTGTCTTTGGTTCATACCCTGTCTCCCCGGACCACAGTGCCCAGCACACTGTAGGTCGTATTTTTTGGGTATGAAATACAAAGCAGCTACTCAGTTCATGGGCACATTTTCTACTAAAGAAGACACTATCACTATCACTATGATTCAATGGCTAAGTGGCACTAATCTTTGGGAACATATCTTCCAATTCTTTAAACTCAAAAGTTATATTACCTTTGCAGTTACCTCTATACACTGGCTCAAAGGCGTTTCGTAATTGTTTGTGGATTGAGTGCTTTTAACTCCCAGCTAAGTCGACCAAAGATCACTGTCAGGGGACCACAGAGGTTCCGGTGAAACGTGTGACGCGAGAGGTTCAGGGCGGGCAGGAGCAAAGGCGGGGGACCACCGTGCAGGACCACACAAATTTCTAGGGTAAGGCAGTGCACTAACCTCGCCGCCGGAAGAGAAGAGGGACGCGCCAAAGGGGCAAACTTCCGCCGCCTGGCTGCAGCCTCACCTTGCCCAAAGCCACACTCCTCCAGTACTGAGGCCTCTCCCAGCGCCCGGCACTGCGCAGGCGCATAGAATTGTGGGCTCAGCAGTGCGCGAGCCTCCCTGTCCACGTGACTGCCAGACAACGTGACCCGTGCCGCCGTGACCTTTTCCGCTCCCTAGTGTCTGGGACCTACCGGTTCCTGCTTGCTTCCGCCTTCCGCCCTCCTTCCTGATTCCGCTTCTCCTGCAGCCCTTCGCTTTCCCCGCCTTCGTCCCCGGAAGATCTCCGAGGCCTCCAGCCGGTCATTGTTTGTCTGTCCCAGGGGCACCAAATAAAGTTTCTTTGTTCAAAAGCATTTTTTTTAAAAGCACTGGAGCCCGCCTTCCTCAGCTCCTCCTCCGCGGCCGCACCGCCTCTCGTCCTGCGGCGGGGGAGATCCTAGCGTTGGCGCGGGGAACTGGGAAGGTGATGATGGCGGGGCCGCCGGCGTCTCTCTCCGGACAGGACGTAGGGTTTGTGTCGCTTTCTTCGCTCAGCCCCTCGGCTCCTGTACCTCGTCCCCACTTTTGCGTAAAGCCCGGCCTCGCGGGGAAGCTGCGGCGGGCGGAACGCCGCCCGCTCGCCCCCGGCTGCGAGTTCAGATCTGCCGTTGGGCTCCGCTTCCCCGGGGGCTGCGGCGGGGACTCGCGCGGAGGCGGGCCCGAGGCAGGCCGGAGACTTGAGTCTCCTGGTTGTGGCCGCTCGACGTGCTCGAGACTGGGAGACTCGGATCGGCGTTGCAGCATCTTTCTTGGGGTGCTTTCGTGGCCTCTTTTCTTAACACCAACACGGACTTCGAGCTCGGTGCTGAAATTCTCCAGTTACCCCACCTCTCCCTGCAGTGATCATTTAAACATTTAATAGGTTTATATTAATTTGTATTGGGCAGTTCACTTGTTTTTAAAGTGGTTTGTTCCTTTTTTTTTTTTTTAACTCTTGCTTGATTGCCGTGAGAGTTTACTATGCCTCTTCTGCCGTCTTTTCTGGGTATTGCAGAGAGCGTGGCTTCAATGTTGCAATAAACGCAGTTTTGGGGGAGGGGTGTTAAAAGTCTCTGCAAAAGTAAGGAATCTCAGATCTATCGAGAAACGTGTTTCTTCGGTTGCTGATCAGATTAATTCATAATCCCACTATAAAGTGTGCAAATTGCTTTTTAGACATTGGGTGGATCACCGTAAGAAGTACCCATTTGTATAAATTGAATGGCCAAATTTATATTTGACATGCGTCCCTACTCCAAAATACTGCGAAACACAAGAATTCTTACAACAAAGTGGCTTGACATGGAGAAGACTGAGGCCTGAGAGGTACTAGTGGCCCAGCATTTAAGCGGGCACTCAGGTTGTGCAGGTACAGGGGGTGTTTGCTTCAAGTTTGAGCCCCAGGCTCTTTTGGACTCACAGTCAAGTTCTGACCCAGGCGGGACCTTGTTGCCCCAGCCTTCAGGCCTCTGAGGAAATTTAGTAGCTGGAAAAACAGCAATACGCAGTTTCCAGTTAAGTACAGTCTTCCAAGAACTGTCACTTCTTTTTGTATCAACTGCCTTGGAAAATTGGAGTGTCAGTTCATTTAATATTCCTACTCTTCCTCCAAGGAATTAGTAGTGATTTTAAAGGTTAAATTCTGGTCACAGTAGTAATTACACCTGTTGAAACCTAATCACTGTTTAGGTTACTCAAGTGCCACAAAATCAGTATTTTGTGATTTTTTTTTTTTTTTTACTATTTATAATTTTATAGCTATCATTTGAGGAAACCTTGAAAAACTGAGAGTGTAACCCAATATTTTTCAAAAACTTCAGTAAGATATTAGAGTTTTTTGTATGTGTGATGATCCCAAGTTAAAATTAGGATAGGTGGTTGGGCAGAGGTATTTTCAAAATTACTGTGTCAACTTTGTTTTTACTTTGCCTCTGATGATCTGAAAGTAGAAGTGAAATGATCAGCTAAGTTTTGTGCTCTGTTTAAAAAATCTGCACAGAATTTCACCACTTACTAAGGCCTGCGTTTTCTTTGTCATGTATTTTCTTTAAAAACTAATTACATCTAGCCCTTGCTGGCGTAGCTCAGTGGATTGAGCGCAGGCTGCGAACCAAAGTGTCCCAGGTTCGATTCCCAGCCAGGGTACATGCCTGGGTTGCAGGCCATAACCTCCAGCAACCGCACATTGATGTTTCCCTCTCTCTCTCTATCTCCCTCCCTTCCCTCTCTAAAAATAAATAAATAGAATCTTTAAAAAAAAACTAATTACATCTAAAATGATAATCTGTAGATCTTGATTTTTGTATGTCTAAAATCAGGACTATTGTTATTTTTTTTCTATGCAAGTATACTCAAGTTTTTCCTTATTTCTAACTTTCTTTGATAACTATTTTTTTGGTTGGGAGTGTGAGATGGTAACATGCCTTGATTTTGTTGAGGGACAAAACAGGGTAGAAGGGATAATTGTGCAGGTAGAGAAGGTAGCAGGAAAAGCCTTTGAAAATTAAACTTGTCTAAGCGAAAATAAGCAGGTTCAAACTCATCTTTATGTTTTTCTAGCACAGTAGAGTCTTTAGGCCATTTTATATCCTCGTCTCATTCATTTTTCTAAGTAGGCGATATGTCACTTAGTAATTGACATGGGAGGAGAGAATCTATTTGCTTTTTAGGTGATTCTTTTTCTGTCCTAGTCACATCGTTAAAACTACTTTCTGAGTAGGGAAAATAAAGGGAATAGAATGGGAAAGGTAAGAATGATTTAATAAACTCCAGGGGAGAATCTGAGGTTAGAGTCACAAAGACTGTTCGGCTTTGATGACACACTGGAGAAGTTTTCAGATTTTCCTGTGTCTTAGTGTAGTGGCCAGACATTGTTGGTTTTCCTTATATTGGTTGCATGGAAAGGAATTTTAATTTAAATAGGGTGATTCAGAAACTGAAAGATGACCCATCTTCTAGTATTAGTGCTATTAAGTAATATATTAATTATGTTTGTGATTCTCTCTTCTAGATCATTTGCATATCTTACAATTAAAGACCGAATACCACAGATCTTAACCAAGGCTATTGATACATTGCATCGACATAAAAGTGAAATTTTTGAGAAACATGGAGAGGTATGAAATTATTTGAATTTTAATTATTAAATCTTTTAACAGAAACATAGTAATCAGTTCCCCCTCTGAGATAATGGTCATCTCACTTGTAGATAATGAAAGGATTCTTGTTCATAAGATGAAACTTAAAAAAAAAAAAAAGCAGAATAGATAAGCAGGATAATGTTGTATATCTGGGTGTGTACTTTGATTTTCAGCTTAAGAATTCTAAATTTAGCCCTGACCTGTGTGGCTCAGTTGGTTGGGCCTCTTTTCCCAAAGCAGAAGCTTGTTGGTTTACTTCCTGGTCAGGGGGTTGTGGTTGGGTCACCCATGGAGGTGCACAGGAAAGGCACCCAGCCTCTCGATGTTTCCTCTTTCTCCCTCTCTTCCCCACTCTAAAAATAAATAAAAACTTCTAAAAGATTCTAAATGTAAATGTTTATACTAGTTTGTGAAGACATAACATGTAATTAGGTAATATAGTATTTTTTCCTTCTTAAGTATAGGTCCATAAAAATGTGTAACTTTAGGGGAATCATTCATTTATATGTTATATGTAAAGCATTTATATATACAATTTAATTACTTGTATATAGATTATGTATATATTTTTAAATATATAAATGTTTCTTCCATATTTCTGCAGAAAGGCATGGAAGCTGAAAAGAAAGCTATTTCTCTTCTTTCTAAATTGCGGAATGAATTACAAACAGATAAGCCAATTACCCCCTTGGTTGAGAAGTTTGCTGATACTGACATATGGAATCAGTACCTAGAATATCAACAGAGTCTTTTAAATGACAGTGATGGAAAAGCAAGGTGGTTCCACTCACCGTGGCTGTTTGTGGAATGCTACATGTATCGTAGAATTCATGAAGCAGTTATCCAGAGGTAAGTATATAATCATCAAGTAATTGTTTAGATAGTTTATTCTCTTTTTGAGGTGATAAAGTGGTAAGTTTAAAAATAGAAACCAGTGCAAACCTGAATTCAGGTCAGCAGATATTAACCACGCTGCTGGACACTCTGCAGATGTTACCGCTGCGCCGGAACAAGTTAGAAATTCTTATGAAGATACTTTTCTTCTAGAGTAAAATACATTGTACTTGTTGAGGAAAAAATGTTAATTTTAAATAATTATTTAAAAATTAAGATGGGACAAAGTAAGCATGTTTTGTTTAAAAAATAGATAACATGTCCGTTTGGGATAAGGAATCAATAGCAGTGAATCAGTCAGTTGTTTCAGCACTGCCTTAATCTTGAGCCCTGTTTTAGTTATGTATTTATTTTTAAATTGATTTTGCAAAGAGGAAAGGGGAGAGAGAGAAACAATAGTTTTTTTTTACACTTACTATGCATTCATTGGTTAATCCTCGTGTGAGCCCTCACTGGGGGTGGAATCTGCAATCCTGAGGAACAGGGACGACGCTCTGACCACCTGAGCCGCCTGGCCAGGGCCTTTTTGTCTTTTCCTTTTTTTTTTTTAATGGCTAGATTAGAAAAAGACTAAAGGTTAAACAAACGTTCCAAATAACTTTTTATACACTTGTGTATATTAATTTATTTTTCCTAAAAAATTCTGACGAGCTGATTTAATAGGGCAGAAGAAAAGGTAACGTGGATTGTTCTTTTAGCTCACAGGTTAAAAAACACAGATTTGCGGAATGAGAGGAATCTTTTGGTGTCTGTCCAAACATAGCATAGTATGATTTAAAGCAATCAGTCAAACCAGCACTGAAAGTAAAATTAAAAAATAACTTTGGGAAACATGCATCAATTTGAGTCTATTCATTAGCTTTTTCTGTTATAATCTTTATAAAT